CCAAGTGGAAGAGCCTCCTGGAGAATGACCAGATCCTGTCCCACGGCGGGCAGGACCTCTCGGCTGATGCCTTTCACAGGTACTCCGTGCAGGGGTGCAGAGCACACCTGCTGCCGTCTCCTGGGTGGGGGTGGGGGGTGTTGCTGCCCGCTGGGGGGTGGGCGGGGCACTGGCCTCTGTTAGCCACATGCAGGCACTGCTAGGAGTTGCAGTCTCATTTGTTGGTCCACCCTGCGCTTGCCAAGCATTTCTGGAGGACCATGCGTGTGCTGGGCTTACCCTGGCAGTAGAGCAGGTGGCCTCTGTCTGCAGGAACTGGGAGAGGCAGGTGGGAACAGGGAGTGGGCACACAAAGCTGGGGTACAGACTGGGCCCAGTGGTAGAGAGTAACAAAGTGTACACCTCTTTGGGGGAAGGTTTGAGGCAGAAGTCTCTGAGGGGGACAGTTAATCTGTAACCCAAAGGGTGAGAGGCGTCAGCTCTGCAGAGCGCTCAGGGTGGAAACGCACACGGCACCTTGAGGAGGGGCTGTAGTGTGGGGGCCATGAGCCTGTGTGACCCCGCAGCAACCCTGCCAGGCAGGCAGGCACTGCCTAGAATAAGGTCACGAGGTTGGGTGAGCAACCAGGAAAGCAAGGAAGAGGCAGCTGCAGGTCTGGCCAGTGTGGGGACTGGACAGGTGGCTTTCTGATTGGATTTCCATGCTGTTGCCTTCTTCCTTCTCCTTCTAGAGAAGTGGGTGCTGGTGTACTTTGCATACTGTGACCCCAGTCGGTGCAGTTAGCAGCCTGCCTTCTGTCTTTCTCCTGTAGGCTGATATGGGAGGTCTGGATGCCCTTTGTTCGAAATATTGTCACCCAGTGGCAACCAAGGAACTGTGAGCCGATGGTGGACTTCTTGGACAGCTGGGTGCACATTATCCCCGTGTGGATCTTGGATAACATACTGGACCAGCTCATCTTCCCCAAGCTGCAGAAAGAGGTAGGGCCAGGGCCTGGGAAAGCGCTTGTTGGCTACCATGGCGACCCTGTTAGCTTTGCTCTTTATCTCAGTGCTGCTAAGTAACAGAACATGTCAGTGCTGGTCTTGTCCTGTGTTAACTCCGGCCATTTGATCAGCACTTTGCTCCCCCAAGCCCCCATTAATAGGCAATTCATCTTCTTGGTTTCTTTCTTAAAACTGTGTCATTTCTGAGATGTAATATGATCGAATGGCTATCTTTGTAGGTCAGCATCTGTTTTGAGGAAACGTAGCGCAAAATGCCTACTAAGCACCTTGGCTGTCTCTTTGTACCTAACATGTCCCTACATAAAGTAGAGACTGTGTCCTCCACACACGTGCAAAGCACTGGACCTCGGCCAAGAGAGCACATGGTCTCCTCACCATGAACTACACAGGGCGTCACGCGGCTGTCCCACAGGCAGCGTGAACTGCTTTTCTCCTGCTCCTCCTGCAGGTGGAAAACTGGAACCCGCTGACGGACACCGTCCCCATCCACTCTTGGATCCACCCGTGGCTGCCCCTCATGCAGGCGCGCCTGGAGCCGCTGTATTCCCCCATCCGCAGCAAGCTGTCCAGCGCCCTGCAGAAGTGGCACCCCAGCGACTCCTCTGCCAAGCTCATTCTCCAGCCCTGGAAAGACGTCTTCACCCCTGGCTCCTGGGAAGCGTTCATGGTCAAGAACATAGTGCCCAAGCTGGGTAAGGGGTCGGGGAGGACACACCCAGGCCTGGCAGCCCCGGTGGCGCGGTTTCTCTGACAGCACAACAGCCATGCTGCTTAAACACGGCTTGTGAGCCGAGTAACAAGGCTAATAAGCACGTGCCATTTCTCACCCTGAAAGAGGCGCCATTTTTGTGCACTGCAGCTGAAATAAATGAGGCTGGGGTCCTTACGGCAGTGGCTGAAAGGCTGTGGTGGCCACGCCAGACTCAGTGTGCCTCCTGGTTCCTGGTTGGTCTGGCGTGGGCTTCTGGTAACGAGGTAGCCACTGGTATTCTGAAATTTTCATGGTAGTTGATACTAAATATGAGTGATTTCTGGGTTAGAGAGGAAACTGATCTTTAAGAATTGCTATGTCAAGAGCTCACAGTTGACCGTTAAAAGCAGACCAAAGGGGAACACTGGCTGGAGAAGACTCCACTCTTTGTGCTTCTGTGGCTGTGCCTTAAAGACTGGGCTTCTCTTCCAGGGATGTGTCTTGGGGAGTTAGTCATCAACCCCCACCAGCAGCACATGGATGCTTTTTACTGGGTCATCGACTGGGAAGGGATGATCTCTGTCTCCAGCCTCGTGGGGCTTCTTGAAAAGCACTTCTTCCCCAAGTGGCTTCAGGTACTTTGCTTGCTTTGTTAGGGTGGGACGGAGGCAGGGAGGGTTCGCTTAATTCTTGGATAACTGTCAGATAGATGATAGTGCTATGACTATGTAACAAAAATAAAATTACATGGTAGGAAAGGAATGAGTTAAGCAATAACAGTGACTGCCAGTTATTGACCATTTGCCATGTGCCAGGTGTTCTAAGCACTTTATTTGCATGATTTTCGGATAGGGACTGTGATACCCCTGTAGTATAGACCTGAGGCTGAGTTTGGGTCAAGGCACTTAGCTATCAAGCTGACCCCAAATTCCATGCTCTGAAGTGCCTGCCTGTTCAGCCCCATAAACACCACCCGCTTGTAGGACCATGATTCAAGCAAATGTCCTCTTTAGATGTTTTGATCCCATTTGTTGCCACTGTGGGTACAAGATTCTGTTGTTCCCTTTTGGCAGGTGCTGTGCTCCTGGCTCAGTAACAGCCCCAACTATGAGGAGATTACCAAGTGGTACCTGGGCTGGAAGTCCATGTTCTCAGACCAAGTGCTGGCACACCCATCCATCAAGGACAAATTCAACGAAGCACTTGATATCATGAACAGGGCGGTGTCCTCCAATGTTGGTGAGTGGGGGTTGTTTGGGATGTCCTGGCCCTGAGATCTGTGGTTCTGAACACGTAAATGACACAGGTCAGTGTTCAGTTACCCAGGGGCTGACTGAAGCGTAACTCACCCTCCACTCCAGCAGACACTGGCTCTTAGCCAGCAGACCCAGTTCCATAGTTGGCGAGCACCCACTGCCAGCTCTCCTGCGGCTGGGAGGCGCGTCTTTCTCTGAATGGAGACGGATTGAAGCAGGATTCACACTATGTGGGTCTACCTCCAGCGCCCATCTTCCTAACCACTGTGCTGTGTGGCATTTTAGGATTCATTCGTGTCCTGCTTGGCCAGCGCTGGGTGTGCTACTCACGTGTAACAGCTGACAGTGCAGTCATGGCTCAGTCTCTCTCTCAGTAGTTGCTTAACATCTCAGACCATTTTCTTTACCTGTGAAAAAGTCACAGTACCTACCGTCTCAGTTTTAAAAACCTAGGGGACTGAGTTACTGTTTGTGTATAGCACTCAATGGGTGTCTTGGGTCAGAAGTGGGCAGCTGACTGTTCGTTTAACACCTGTTCCCCACACGACTCAGTTCTGGGTGAGTCACTGCCTAGTTTAGGAGTCCTGGCAGCCTCCGCAGCCAATCCTCGGTTAGTGTGCTCATCTCTCGAAGTGTCTCACGGAGTTTCACAGGTAAGGTCAGCAAGGCCGAGAGCTTGTTCTGGGTCACACAGCTTAGGAGTGGCTGCTGTGACTGGAATTTCTATTTCCTGAGACTTTATTTCTTTTCTACTAAGCCTGTTACATGAAAGCAGAGTTGGAATTCATAGATTACTTGATTAAATATTATGCTGAATGAGGTAAATACATTTTGCTATTTATCCAGGTCCTTCAAGGGATATCAGTGGGCCATCTCTATTTTCATGCTCTCTAGGCACTTCCTTCAGCCTCCCCGGCCCCACACTCCTGGCACTGCTCCCCATCTGTACCCCGCTGCTCGTACTGGGCACTTGTGGTCCTGTATTCTCTCTCCGTGAACATCTAGGTTTCAGCTCCCCACATACATTTGAAATTCTTCTGGGCCCAGAGGCCTGTATGGGGAGGTTAAACCTACAACTAGTACAGGCTGCCTTTTTGGCAGTGTGGAGTGAAAACTACCAAGCAAGGTGGGAATGGAATCTCTCTGGCCACCAGGTATCAGCCAGAAATCTCCAGACCCATTTTTATGTGGTTCCAGCCAGGTGTCTAGGTGCTTGATCATCGGTTTTAGTGCCTTGTAGTCTGAGGCACAGCTACCCTTTGGTGAGTGACAGGTTTTATAGAGGTGGCACCTGTGGGACATCCAGATTTCGTCCAGCTGCAGCCTAGAACCTGCATGTTGGGACGCCTCTCCTCACCCCCCTGCCCTCTGCCTCTCCCAGGCGCCTACATGCAGCCCGGGGCACGGGAGAACATCGCCTACCTCACTCACACGGAGCGGAGGAAGGACTTCCAGTACGAGGCCATGCAGGAGCGGCGGGAGGCCGAGAACATGGCCCAGAGGGGCATCGGCGTGGCCGCCAGCTCCGTGCCCATGAACTTTAAGGACCTCATTGAGACCAAGGCTGAGGAGCACAACATTGTCTTCATGCCTGTCATCGGGAAGCGACATGAAGGGAAGCAGCTCTACACCTTTGGCCGCATTGTCATCTACATCGATCGGGGGGTGGTGTTTGTCCAGGGCGAGAAGACGTGGGTGCCCACCTCGCTGCAGAGCCTGATTGACATGGCCAAGTAGACTGCGGCAGGCCCAGACACTTGCACTGAGGGACACATGTATGAATAAATAGGACTTTAAACCATCTCTGAAAGAGCAACTTCTCTATTCTGTATTGCTCCCTGCAAGGGAGGTGAAACACAGTAATGCTCTTTCACTGGGTCCTCCCGCAACGTATCACCCCCTGCGCACGAGAGCCAAGCTGAGGGGCTTTCTGTTCCTGCCAGAGTGGCCCACTGCAGAGATGAGTTCTCTGCGGTCCCACCGGGGCAACCTCCCCTTTAGTTTCTGGCCACGGCTGCTTCCCGCCTCAGCCAACACTGCACACGTTAGAGCAAGTTTGAGTCGGTAGCTGAAGGAGCTTGTGTCTCGTTCTGGATGATTTCAAGGTCCTCACAGCCCCGATAATCCGGTTCTTCCCGAAAGGCCCAGGTGTCCGGGGAGAGCTGGCAGAGCTTTCGGACAGGGAACCAGTGGACAGCCGTGTCGTTGAATGTGTCTGTGTACTGCGGGCTCTGAGGGAACGCGTGCTCTTCCAGTCCCTTTAGAATCTGAGCACAAAAGGGAAAAAAAAAAAGTAAACTTGATCGTCACAGTAAACCCTACTCTGCCTTCAGTAGCGCCTCATGAGTATATCTGCCTGGACATGTGAGGGCAGAATGGTTCCCAGTGACACAGAAATAGGATGCCACACCCTTTTCCATCCCAGCCCCTTTATTCAGGTAGATACCTTCGCAACATAGGCGTAGTTTTTCTGCAGAATCCTTGTCAACAATCTAGAAATAAAAAAATTTTTAAAGCATGATTAGGAGGTATGAGTGGTTTTATCCAACTTAAGACAAACAGAAAGGCAAGGCAATTTAAATAAGAACTGTAAAAACTGGGGTGTTCAATAGAAAATGCGAATGTCCCCCCTAACTGCAGCCATTCCATCGAGGGAAAAGTGACGGAGCAGACAGAGGCATCGTGAAACAGGACCGGTAGAAACCCAGTGGTTTTTCCCCATTAAAAAAAATTCTGCCCATCATAAGGGAAGGGAGGGACTATGGGCAAAAAGACCCCTTCACTTGCTTCAGAGCCTGACTCGGAGCTGACACTTCTCTAGCCCTCTGTCCTGTCTCCTATACAAGAGCATTTCCGAGGAGCGGTCGTGGAGACGCGTTCTGCTTGCGGACCGCTCCAAGGGCGCGGCTGCACCTCAGGGCCAGGGAGCGCCTCCGCGTCCTTGGACTTACCTCTCCTCTAGTCCTTTGAAACTGTTCCCAATGATGACCATCTTGGAAAGGGCGTCTGCTGACCAGTTACTCCACAGGAGGTTGTTGTACAGGGCTGTCCCACAGTGCAGCATGTAAAAGATGGTGGGCTCCCCGCAGACGCTCCGCTTTCCCTCCTGGGGGACACGGGCACAGATGTGTGAACGCTTCTTAGGACGAGGGGAGGGAGAGGAAACGGCAGACTAATACGCTCAGGATTCTCACCACACACACACACACACACACACACACACACACACACACACACACTAAAAATGTAATTATGTGAAGTGACGGATGCGTTAACCTTATTGTGGTTATCATTTTGCAATATACATGTATCACATTGTACACAAACTTATATAATGTTATGTCAGTTACGTCAACACAGCTCAGGAAGAAGCTGAGAGGAAAGCAAATCAAAGTATGACATGGAAAAAAACCCTACATTCCATCGTGGCATAGTAGTTACATTAGTAATGTGCATGAACTCTATACAATGACAAGGGACAAAAAGTCAAGAGATCATGATGTCTGGAAAGAACTCGTGTTCACTCAGCAAATGTGTGTCCCACGAACACAGAAGGCTCTGGATCAATGAAAGGGCCTCCGGGGCCTGTGACAGCACAGCAGGAGGGGCAGTGATGGTTACTGTCCCCACGTACTGGGCCTGGTGACCCTCTTGTGTTTCTACTGTCACTTTCTTCAGATCCCTGTCACAAGAGAGCCCTTTTCAAACAACCCCTCTTGAGAACTATTGCTCCACAGCCAGACTCCTTGGTAGGGAACACAGGGTCCTCTGTTTGCTGCCTGGCCCCGGCTGCTTCTGGCTGCCTGGCCCCGGCTACTTCTGGGCCTCTTCTCTTTCCATTCTTGCAGCTTCCCTTCTGTTAATAACAAACTGGCAGTGGTTCCTGAACAGCCAGCTCTGCACGGGCTGCCTACAACCCTGGTCCTGTACCTCCAGCAAACTCCTGGTCAATGTTCAAGTCCCAACTCAGACCCAGGAAACCTCCCTCCATCCCCCCAAACAGAGCGGGTTTCCTTCCGAGAAGTCTCAGTTCCTAGTGTGCGGCTCTGCCTCCCTGTCTGATTCATCGTCTGCTGGTTCGCAGGCTGGCTCCCATTTATCTTGGTCTCCCCAAGCTGCCTGTCTCGCACAGAGCAGGCGCTCAGAAAAGAGAATCAGAATTAAATGGCAGCATTTGAGGAGGTTGCCAACATCCGCAAACAATTCCCTTGTCTCAGCTGGGCCTAATTTTCATGTTTCATAATAAGCAATAAGATGGCAGTTTTTCAGGACAGCGAGGAATCAAATGATTATAATCACCAAGACAGAACAAAAAGGCATCGGCCTATGATGGCATCAGTCCTCTGTGAAGTTAATTTTCTTTTTCCCAGGTCTCAAGAAATGTTGAATTCCCACTATTTTAGGGGATGCAGGGGTGGACAGAGGCTTTGTCCACAGCTCACAGCCAGATGCTGTGGGTGTGACTGAGCTACAGCTCCAAAGAGGGGAGATATTCTGTCCCCTTTTTTTGCCTCCCTTGGAACAGAATAAATTCCAGCCAGAAAGCGGTCATTTGATGAACTGAGACTGTGTGCCCTCTCAGTATTTGACACTAACAGTAAATAACAACTTCACATAATTTCAGGACACAGACCCCTCATAAAAAAATTTTGTAATCCTAACATGTTCTGGTTGATGCCACCTGTGTAATTTACTTTTTTCTGATGGGCACGACAGTCCAAAATGTGGGTAACTGGTCAGTTGCACATCACAGGCAGCGGTAAAGAAGCAGGCAGTGGGAAGCACAGACTGCTGTTTCAAAGGAAAATGGCACCCGTGGGACAGGGGCTGGGTCAGCCGGTCAGCGGCTACACATCCCTGCCCACGTGCCCCTCCTAAACCACTCACCTCGTTCTCACGGAGGACAGTCACCCCAAGGGTGTTAAGAACTGCAATCTCAAGTTGGCTAAACAGAGGGTCATACACCCAGCAGTGACTTCTGGGAATCTGCAGGTGGGAAGAAGGAGTTATTTCAACCCAATGCCTGTGCGCACACCGTGTGCAAGATCAAGGGAAGGGCAATAGAGTCCAAAAACATACCTGGCACTTTTCCAGGAAGAGAAGCAAAAATGTCAGCTGGTTTCTAGCTATGACGCAGGTGGCAAAGTTCCCAATGCCATAACACACACACTTCCAATCACAGGTCCCCGTGACCAGGGTCTCTCCTGGGATGGAGCCGGGGGCCGCATCTGACTCATCTGGTGATGGGTCGAGGTGCAGGTCTCCAATGGCTTCCGAAAGAGTCCCTACAGGGGTGTTCCGTTGTTCCAGATGTTTCTTAAGACATTTGTTGATGGTTTCTAAAAGAGCAGGCCCCCAAATGCAGTCAGGGGGCATGCTCTGTCCCTGTGAGGCAAATCACCCACAAAAGAAGGCCCAGGTCTGGGGGGGAAGGCGTGGGGCAGCGACAGCTTCAGCTCCTGGGAGAGAAGGGCTGCCGGCCCCACTCCCAAACGTGCCTGGGACATGCAGCCGTGTCCACCAAACGCGGACAGGCTGTCCAGGTCCCTGGACCCCCAAGGCCCTCAACCTCAGAGCGGGTTTCAAGAAGAAATAGTTTTCATTTACGGGTTCTGTTTCCATCTAAACCTCTAATGTAAACACATTCTAGTTTAATAGGAGGCCCCTGGTAAATGCCCTGAAGTTCTGATTTTTTTTTTTTATCATAACAAAGAATAGAGGAGAGCTCTCAATATCACACTATTAATGGCTAGGAATACAAATATTTTTTAAAGATTTTATTAATTTTTTTAGAGAGAGGGGAAGGCAGGGAGAAAGAGGAAGAAAAACATAGATCAGTTGCCTCTCACATGACCCCAGTTGGGGACCTGGCCTGCAACCCACGCATGTGCCCTGACTGGGAATCAAGCCAGTGACCCTTCAGTTTGCAGGCCAGTGCTCAGTTCACTGAGCTACACCAGCCAGGGCAGGAGTAGGAATATTTAACGTGTAAAAAGTTATACCATATGATTTCGCTCATATGTGGAATCTAATGAACAAACTAAACTAACAAGCAAAATGGAGGCAGACTCAGTGGGAAGACAGCTATGGGGGTGGAGAGATCGAGCAAAAAGGATAAAGGACTCATGGACATGGACAACAGTGTGGTGATTGGGGGTGAAGGGCATAAAGGGTTAAATGGGAATGCAAAAACAATACAATAGAATTTTTTTTTAAAGGAATGTTGGGACTTCTAGAGTCTAACAAAAAATATTCTCTTTAACTCTTCTCATATAGAGGAGGTTTCTCTTGCCTCTCCTCTTACTATAGTGTTACTGAATTTAGTTGCACAAATCTGTATGCAAAACAAAACAAAAAGCAAAAAGCTTTATGTTTCCAGAAGATGCCAATTTTCACTTAGCAGGAAAGATATCTTTAAATAAGACCGAGCCAGGAAAGACTGCATGAAAAACTGGTTCTTTTAGTCCTTGCTGGTAAAAGAATTGGTGAAAGCTTTTTGGAAAACAACTAGACAATGGATACCAAGTTGGTCACTGCCTTTCACTGAATAATTTCATTTCTGGGAATATATCCCAAGATCATCCTAAACTTTGTAAAAACTTTATGCATAAAGGTGCTCCTTGCAAACTTATGATAACTAAAAAACAAATAAAGGAAATGAACTAAATGTCCCGCAATAAAAATTATAACTACTGTTAGCCCACTCCATGTATTAATATTTATGTTCTCACACATAAAGTTTAGGAAGAAATTATAGCTGCAGGGGAAAAGAGTCTACATTGCAACCTCAGGGAAAAAGAAAAGGATAAATATTGGGTTGGCCCAAAAGTCCAATATGTTTCATCCATACAATGGCTCTAGTAGTGCTTAGTTGTCTTTAACTTCATTCAAAACAATTTTGTTAGACTTTATTGTGACTGCTGTCAGATTAGCATGCATTTAAAAAGGAAAAAAAACTTACGCCTAGCCGGTAGCTCAGCTGGTTAAGAGCATCGTCCTGACACACCAAGGTTTCAGGTTCGATCCCTAGTCAGCACACATTCAAGAATCAATTAACAAATGCATGAATAAGTAGAACAACAAATCGATGTCTCTCTCTCCCTCTCTAAAATCAATAAATTTTTTAAAAACATGTAAAAAATGTAAATAAACTTAACACTGGTGAATTTTTGTGCAGCCATTTTAATATTGAAGGAAAATACACATTTTCAGTGTATTGTGTTTTACTATTTCAAGAAAGGTAAAAACGCAACTGAAACACAAAAAAAGATTTGTGCAGTGTATGGAGAAGGTGCTGTGACTGATGGAACATGTCAAAAGTAGTTTGCAGAGTTTCTTGGTATATTGACATTTTGGCCAAGTAATTTTTTGCTGTGGGGCTGTGTTATGCACTGGGAGATGTTTAGCAGCAGCCCTGGCCTCTACCCACTAGAAGCCTATAGCAGGAAAGAGCTGGCACACTCAACATATCCAAATCAATAAAGTTATTGGTGAAAATGAAAAATGTGTCTTTTATTTCATAAAAAAATGTAATGGACCTTTTGGCCAACCCAATATAAATTTCAGTAGTAATTATAATGACAGCTAACATTCATTGCCTCCTGTGCGACAGGCAAACTCTGTTTTAAGCACTTAACAGCCTCCTTTAATACTTAAAATTACACTACAGGGTATGTATCATCATCTCCATTTCACAGGTAAAGAAACCAAGGATCTGAGTCAGCTAAGAGGCAAAACCACAGAGCTGTAAGGGGAAGTCAGAGTTAGAACCCAGCACGTACACCATTCCATGAAGCAAAATGTTATCAGATGAGGGCGGGATTCCTTTCTTTGCTCATAGGCAGGCCCTCCTCCCACCCTACCACCCTCAGTCTTGGTGTGGTGGTACTCACCTAGTGCTAAACTCCAGAAATCAGAAATAAGCAGGTCTGCCCTGTTGAAAAAAAATGGCGTGATAAACTCCCATCCTTCTAAGGGCTGCCCTAACAGTGACCATCACACCCCCGCTCCCCATAACCTGGGTGTGGGAAGCATGATGGAGTGTCCAAACACAGAGCCCACCCTTTAGTGACAGCAGGATATGGTGAACACATGAAGAGCCAGAACACATACTGCTGGGGCTCAGAGAGGGCAGCAGAGAGGGCTTCCCAGAGGAGGCCCCTAGTTCCTGGGGCAGGTCTAGGTCTGCTCCATTTCCTTGGTCCACAGCAGAGCTAGATTTGAACTGACATGCCATAAGCCACTGTTCAGGGGGCTCAGAGAACAGACAGAATTGAAAAAACATCTGCCCTCATGTTCCTCACAGAGGTGAAAGGAGAGCTCGAATGTGCGGGGAGTACTTTGTAAAGTGGTGATTGTATGCACAGGAGAACATGTCAAGTGCTGGGCTCCTCTCTACCAGGGCAGTGGGGAATGCACTGTAGTTAGGGGTGCACGTAGAAGTAGGGGAGCCCCTGGGGATACTCCCGATACACTGAAGAAGTTGAGGAGGAGGAACATCAAGATGTTTGCAAAGTGCCTTAAGAGTTTTCCAGACCCGTAGGCACCTCATTCTGATTGGCATCTTCAGATCCTAGAAACAGTCACTGCTGCTTTTTCTCTCCAGCTCAAGCGCAGGTCAGCCCCACTGTCTATATAGTGGTAACCTGAGTCACTGACCTCTTGACCTTAATTCTCAAGGAGGGGAGCATAAAAAATTTCTTTCAGTTGTGAAGATACTTCAGCTGTTATCTGGAAAGGTGCTAACGAAAGCTGTTCTTTATTGAGCCCGTAAAGGACCACAAAAAAAGAGGTAATAATACAACAAAAGTAGATATTTATTGAGTGTGTCCTCTGAATTAAGCACTACTCTAAGTGCTAAGACACAGAGCAAGGAATGGAGGAATGGGTAATGGGATAAACCAGAGTAATGGGGCACTCTGAAGCACAGATTTGGAATCGCAAAGACATGGGTTTGAAATTTGGTTCCATACATTTTTCTCTCTCTCTCTCTCTGAAACTCGACGCCAACAGGATCCTACAGCGATGCTGAGATGTTCAAATTGATAAGGTATGGAGATTGCTGAAGCCAGTGCCAGGCACATAGCAGTTCCATTAACTAACAGTGAGAATCACGAAAATGACAACCACGTGTTTGTGCTGCTTCCCAGGCGTCAGTTACACTAATAAAAACATTGGAGTAACGTTAACAGCTAACCCTGGTAGTGCGCTTACGACGCGCAGTGTGGAAGCGCTGTTCGAAATGGTTTACATTTACCGATTCACTGAATACTCAAAACAGGTCTACAGGTACTTTTTTCATGCCCACCTCAAAGATCAGCAAACTGAGGCACAGAGATGACATAACTTGCCCGAGGTGACGCTGCTGAAATTGCAATAAGAGGAACGAGAACCTTTATTGAGCGCTTACTACAATCCAGTTTGTAATGAACTCTTTACCTCCGTGAAACCCTCACAATGACCCCTAAAAGGTTTGCGCGTATTCCCACTTTACAGATGGCGAGACTGAGGCTCGGAGAGATTCCCACAGGCGTGAAGATTCGGACTCAGGGCAGACCCGGCACTCACTCGGCCTCCCGGATGCGACGAAGCACGACTCCGCCGTCCACCTCGGGCTCCGCCCTCGGGTTCCGGGTCGCCAGTGCTTCCCGGGGCCGCGGATGCCGGGCCCCAGAGCGCCTTCTCCGCGGAGCCACAGCCTGCCAGGACTCCAGCGCAGGGGCCGCCATTGGCCTCTGACGTAATGGGAGCGCGGCGCCCTCGTGTCTACGTCATCGCCGCGCGCCAGCGCCACGGAACCTTTAGGGGGCGGGAGGCGCCGGCGGCCCTTGATGCTCGGGCCTCTCCTCCGCGCGTGTAGGTACCTGGGGCAAGTCGCTGGCGCCCTGCTATCGCCCACGCTCCGAACCCCGACCCCCCGGCTGGCTACTGTGGCGGGTGGGCAACGCGGGGACGCCGAGGGGAGGGACCGCGTCCAAAGGCGCTTCATCGCGGCCTCTGCGGCATGACCTGGTCCAGAGTGACTCCTATGCCATTGCCCACCGATTCCCAGCCCCCTGGCGCCGAGGCCATGCACTTCCCCGTGCCCTAGACGGTGATCGAGCGCTTCCTAGCCCTTCGCAGTCGTTAGCGTCCTTTTTCTAGCCCCGCTGACCCACTGAGGCCACTTCCTACACCACCACGACCTCCACCACCGTCGGGCCATTGCCGGCCTTTCTTCACTTCCCTGTGTCGTTACTGCCATTTCCTAGGTTTCCAGAGCCTTCTGTGGTCACATCCCAACCCCTGCCCTACCCCAGGGCCATTACCGGCCTCTTCTGGACCTTTCAGAGATAGGAGAGTAGACTTGGAAGTATGGGGCCCAGTCTTCTGGGAAAAATGGATAGAAGGTGTCAGGATATTTTCCTTGGTTCCAAGACCTTAGGAGCTTCTCCACAGAGGCATCCAGATATGCTTCAAAGAATACCAAGAGTGTGACCGTGGAGGCTCACCCCAAGATGTTGAGAGTTGAGAAAAAAATAGACTGTATAGACCATCAAAGATTCAGCGGGGTAGTCTCTAGGGACGTCTCTATCAAAGGAGCTTTAAAAAACTCTGTCGTGCTCCCAGGAGGATGACAGATGGCTAGAAAGCATTTGAAACCATATCCCTGGGGCTGTTAATCTTGGAGAAAGTGACAGTAGGCATACAGCTATGAAGGGACCAAAGGGTTGTCTTGTGGAAGGATTAGACCTTATTTAATTTGCCTGGAGAGTGTTATGCAGACCATTGTCCAGGATACCTGGTGGCCAGCTTTAGCTTGGTGGAAGGATAAATGTAGCACTATGAACTTCCTGTCTCCAGGGAGTAAGCCAGACAGTTCAGGTAATTTTTTTTTTTAAAGATTTTATTTGTTTTTAGAGAGAGGGGAAGAAAGGGAGAGAGAGGGAGAGAAACATCAACGTGTGGTTGCTTTTCTCATGCCCCCAACTGGAGACCTGGCCCGCAACCCAGGCATGTGCCCTGACAGGGAATTGAACCAGTGACCTTTTGGTTCGCAGGCAGGTGCTCAGTCCACTGAGCCACAGCAGCATCAGGTAATTTTTGAAGAAAGAGCACCAGAGAGAAGGATTAGAGTAAATGATACTAGGGTGCATCTGTTCAGACTCTGAAATCCCCTGATAGTTTGAGTTGTCTTCTTGTGGATGTTTAAAAGTCACTTGTTAAATTCTCATTATGTCTTTTTTTTTTTTTTTTAAAAAAAAAAAAGGTTTTATTTATTTTTAGAGAGAGGGGAAAGGAGGGAGAAAGAGATACATTGATCTGTTGCTTCTTGTATGCACCCTAACCGAGGTGTGCCCCACCCCACAACCCGGACGTGTACCCTGTCTGGGAATCGAACCGGCGACCTTTTGCTTTGTGGGGTGACGCCCAGCCTACTGAGCAACATGGGTCAGGCCACATTCTCACTATGTCTTTTGGAAACTTTCTCAGCTCCAGACTCTACATGTTCAGATTACTTTTGGGCTGTCAGGGAGACAGTTCCCTAATTTGAGTTCCATTATTACTGCAGCAACTGCCTTTTTTGTATAGCTGTCTCTGACACCCAGAGTTTCTTCACTCTAGCATTTAACTTTTTCTGTGAGACATCACTGTTCCAGAAACTAAGCGGTTTGAAGTCCTGCTATCCTCTTTTTTTATTTTGAAACTATTTTACTTTCTAGAAAGCTCTTTTGAAGTATACCATTTGCTTAACCATGCTGGGTCACATGCTCTCTTGTGGGTTTCTGAAATAATCTATTCCTTGTGTTTATTTTAGGTCTGAGGCACTGATGTTTGAACAGGAAGCTTCAAAACTTTTAAAAGAATCTTCAGAATGACTTTGAACCACACAAGCTAAATAAAAATCACCCCAGAACACCAACTTCAGCATGCGTTTCCCCTGTTGGGCTTTCCTGGCGAGCTTTTTGAAGAGGTCTTTCTGCAGAGAGCCAGAGAGCTGATGCTTACAGAACCAGCTTAGTGGATCTGACTTTTCTGGTAGAATTCTCTTGCTTTATTACATTCTTTCCCAGGGTTCTAAGAGGCATGGAGGTATTCATGGAACCGAAAGGCTTGATAGGAGGGAAGTAGCACTTTCATGTGGAATGAAAACTAAGCAAGTGACAGGTGTGCCCGACAACACTTAAACCTCCCACGGCTGAATGTACTGGATCGGGGACACGCAGAAACAGTCACTGCTGGGGAGAAGGAAGCCACAGCTGGAAAAGAAAATCCCAATAAAGAGAATGAGGGTGACTGGAATGTAAATGGCTGCCTCCACCTCAACAGAGACGAAGTCAGCCTCGTGGTGAGTAGCGAGGCCTGCTGTGGTCTAGTTCCTGCCAGGCTGCTGGACGGATGTTTCGGGTTAACTGAAAATCCCCAGCCAGATTGTCTTGATTTTATTAAGGGGGAAAAAAGCACCATTTTCTTCAGAGCAGCTGAAACAAATGTGTGAGGCTTTCCTCACCAAAGTTGATGTGCTCTAACCTTGCAAGCTTCTTGTAGGGTTCGAACGAGTCCAGCATTGCCGATAAGGCTGTAGAGAAGCTAATCGTGACCAATCATGCGCCTGGCCTAGGTGATACGGGCATTGGAGTCTTCACTTTTCAAAGACAAGATGTGGTTGCACTGCAGAATTATGTCATGAGGAGAGGCTTGGCCAGTCTTCAGTTTGGCTGCTGAAGAGTATTACACAATGCCTGCCTGCAGCTCTGTTCCCTTCTCAACCCCGAACGGGTTAAGCCCCTCTCGTAATTTGGTTCAGCAAACATTAATGGAGGAGATAAAAGTGAAAGGCCTTGTTTAAATAGACTGAGCAGGGTTAGTGCCTGATAATATATGCGTGGAAGGCAGACAGATGGAGCAGCTCGAAATGACAGCCACATTTTCTTGTGTGTGCCTGGGAGAGTGGGGTACTTTTACCCCAAGAACCTAGGGAGGGAAAGAATGGGGCCCAGCAGTGGGGTCTCTAAGTTGAGTGAAATATTTTTGAGGCTTTTTGATCTGGACCTGCCCTGAAGCCAGTTGCGCACCTGGAACTGAGGAAGGCGCTGTACTAGAATCTGCATTCGTGCTTGTCACCGGGAAGATAAGGCGGGAGCCAGAGAGGGTGGCAGGGGGTCCAGGGGAGAGAAGCACAGGTGATAACAGAGTGGTCACAACCCCTTCTTAGGCTGTAACCTGATAGGTTTAGAAGTAAAATTCAGGTTTTGTGGAGTTTGCCATGCGGACTTAAAGAGGTTATTACTGTTCTGTCGCTCAGCAGACTCTAAGACTTCGGGGAAGAACAGAGTTATGGAAGCCGAGAAGAGAGATTCCTCTGGGGGTCTGAAGTTGAGGAGGGATACTGTTCAAGTTGTCCTCATGAGGTTCGATAGGCAGAGAGGGGGTCCGTGCATCTCAACTCTAAAAGGCCCCGGTTTTTCCCTGTACAGACTCACTATCATAATCGAAACAGGCAGCCCGCTGTCCCCCTTCCTCTCTGGGCCCCATCGCACACTGCCGGCTCCCAGTCGTGTCCCGTAAATGAACCCGTAGATTCCTGGTGGCAGGGATGCTTCGGGAGGCCGTCGTGCCCAGCAGTTGTGTGGGGTGCATCTGAGACATTCCCAACTTACTTTGACATCAGGGCCTTAGAAGACAGTGTAGCAAACCACGTGGTCATGTAATTAAGGTTCAGTGTCTCAAACGAAAGACGTCATTGTGGGCGCTTCGCCTTTCCTTAGCTGCCTTCTGTCTTTCACACGGGTGGTTTAACGGCTGGATAGAGGCGTATTCTTAGTGAGACTCGACTGCACCAGGAACTGGTTTTCATCTATTTGTGGCCACTGGGTTCTGACTTCTGGCCCTGCAAACACTGAGTAATGAGCTCACCTCAGGCTGGGAAACAGGAAGCTGTGCCTTCAAACGCCCTGATCACTGGATGAAAGGAAACATGGCTCCACTCTGTTCTCTTGCCAGGTGGAATTATTTTTTCCTTTATGATGGTTCAAAGGTAAAGGAAGAAGGAGATCCAACAAGAGCTGGCATTTGTTATTTTTACCCTTCTCAGGTAAGCCCCACAGCATGGGGTTATTTTGTGGGGATACACAGAGCACAATTTTGGAAAGTGGTGACTTTTCAAAAGTGGTCTTTATTGGGACAGTTTTCTTTGGATAATCCAGACAATTAACATTTCTACTCTCTTATACTTAGTTGTACTGTTTCTTGTCGCTCAGGTGTTAAAATTCCCAGGCAGCTCAGTACTTTTGTGTTCTCTGGCTCTGTTACCTTCATGATTTTCTCTCTGCCCACGTTGCTTCCAATTTTTGGTCAGGTCATTAATAAAAAAAGCTTTTATTCACACATATACAGAAGTAGAAAAGGGAGTATCATGAGCCCTATATGCCCGTCTCCAGCCTAACAGTTAGCAACACTTTGTCAGTTTTATGTGACCTGACATAACCTCTCTCCCTCTTTTTTTTTTTTTTATGGAATATTTTGAAGCAAATCCTGGACATTGTGTCATCTCACGGGTATCAAGTAACATCTTGAGCTGAAAAGGACTATTGTTTTAAACATCACACCTAACATAAGTAACAATGATTAGTAACAATAATTCCTTAATATTGAATAGTGTCTATATTCAAGTTTTGCCTTATTATCTTACATGTTTCTTAGACCTACCTTCCTTTATTCTTTCCTCCCCACTCCCCCTCCCCTTTTTCCTAATCAGGATCCAAACAAAGTTCACTATTCCATTTGGTTACCTATGTGTCAAGTCCCTTTAGCTGGGTAACAGTCCTCACCCGCCCACCTTTTTCCCCACTCCGTGCTGTTGAGTTATTGAAGAAACCAGATCGTTCGTGCAGTAGAATGTGAGCGTGTCCCACGCTCTGGATTTGGCTGATCCTTGACTTCCTCATGGTGGTGTCATTTAAGGTCTTCTAGCCACAGTATTTCTTTTAAACTAGTAGTAACCTCTCGAGCCTCGGTTAGGTGCGAGTTCGTTACTTTCAGGCAGGAATTGCTCACAGGTGGTGTGTTCGTCTCCTGTCCATCACACAGTGTCTGGCTGCCCCACAGTGGAGTTAATGCTGCCGCCGATCAGGAGGTCGGTGGATTCGCTCCTGCAATTACCCTCGGACTTGGCCAGTTGGGATCAGTTTCGGCTGCTCTGCCACTCTGCAGGGGACTTGAATAGGGATGAAAGGCTCAGGCTGCTACCCATGCATGCAGGTTAAATTATGTTACAGGATGCAATCCTAGGAACAAAGGTAGAGCACATCCTGTGTGCTCACTGTGGGTGTTCTGTGCCAGTTCCATCAGGTACGGATCCACAAACTTGGTCTAAAAACAGCCAAAGTAAATATTTTAGGCTTCACCTAAGGTCTTTGTCACGTATTCTTTGTTGTTGCTTTGACAACCCTTAAAAGGGCCATTCTTAGTTCATGGGCCCCATAAAAACAGGCAGCCGATTGGATCTGGCCTGCAGGCTCTACCTGCTCTAAGGAATGATGGAGCTCAGCAATTTCAGCTTCCTCTCTGGGATTTGCTTCTTTCCCGCAGACCCTGCTTGACCAACAGGAGTTGCTTTGTGGGCAGATTGCTGGAGTGGTCCACTGTATTTCTGACATCTCTGCCTCTCCTCCCACTCTCATCCGTCTGCGGAAACTTAAGTTCGCCATCAAGGTTGATGGAGATTACCTGTGGGTAAGTTGAACAGGCAGAACCAGTGCCTCCCCCCTGAATCATACGTCTTGGTGATAAGCGTCATGATGATAAGGTTTAGCAAGTAAGGCTTTCTCTGGCTCTCGAGCCTAGAACCTCCTCCGCTCCCCCCAGGAGCCGTGTCCAGGGTGGTCTGCGGTTCCTTGCCACTCTCTGCAGGTGCCCGTCATAACTGAGTGTGCCCCAAAACAGGTCTGACGTACCCTGCATTGCACCTGTGGCTGGTTTCTCCCCTCCTTTGAAAGACTTAAGCTAATGTAGAAATTCTCTATATTCTGTGATGCAAATTGAGTTGTTATTCCCCATCTTTTTTTCTTGATACTCTTTATACTTCCACACTTACTGGGTAAGTGTCTCAGACATTGATGCATGAATGTCAGATTTTAAAGAATAATTAAAAAGAAAAAATAAATACCATTTATTTATACCCGTTAGTACCATATACTCTTAAAGTGCTGTTTTCCCATACCTATACTTACATTAAACTCTTCCTGAGCTAAAGGGATGTTCAAGTGTAAGGAGGTATATTCAGGTTTGTAAGTATTATTTCCAATATTTTACTATGGGTTTTTTCTAACATACCAAACAGTCAAAAGAATTTTATAGTGAATACTCTTATAGTTGACCCTTGAACAGCATGGGCTTGTACTGTGTGGGTTATTTTCAGTAAATACAGCAAATGTATTTTTCTGACAATTTTCTTAACATTTTGTTTTCTCTAGCTTACTTTGTTGTAAGAATACAGTACATACAGTAATACACACAGCATACAAAATATGTTAATTGACTGTTTGTATTATTGGTAAGGCTTCTGTTAAACAGTAGGCTATTAGGAGTTAATTTTTGGGAGTCAAAGTTCTATGCAGATTTTCAACTGCATGGGGCTCAGCGCTCCAACACCTGTGTTGTTCAAGAGTCAACTGTGCCTCCTAGGATCTATAATGAACTTTGTATTATATTTGCTTTATCCCGTATCTGTTCTTATGAATCCAGTTTTTATTTTAATGCTTTTCAAAGTTGCACACATCAGTATACTGTTTCCCGGCCCCCAGTACTTCATGATTCATAATGTTCACTAGAGTTCAGTATTTTCTTGTGGTTCTTTTTTTCTTTTGAGATAGAATTTACGTATGATGAAATACACAAATCCTGAGTGTGCCACATGATGCATTTGGACAAATGATGGCCCTGGCAACAGAAATCCCTATCAAGATACAGAATATCAGCGTCACTCCAGAACGCTCCCTCATGACCTTACCAGTTAACGCTACCCCAACCCTGTCTCGGGCACCCGTTGCCTTTTGTGCACCGTGGATTAGGTTTGCCTGGTTTAGAGCATCATATGCGTGAAATAATACCCGCAACATTCCTCTCCCCAGGCTTCTGCCGTGCGGCCAGCATTTGTGAGTCGCCCTCACTGCACGCACGCGCAGTGCAGTCCTTTCGCCACTGTTGAACTGCGTTCCGTTGTCCAAATACGTCACGGTCCACTGCTTCATCCCCCTTCTCATGGACACGTGGACTGTGCCCAGGTTGGGGCAGTTAAGAATAAGGCTTCTAGGAACATTCCTATTCAGGCCTTTTTAGTGAAAATAAGTTTTCATTTCTTGTGAGCAAATATCTAGGTGTGGAATTGCTGAGTCATGGGGTAGGTATATGTTGATTTTTATAAGAAATCGCCAGCCCTTTCCCCAGGATTGTATAATTTTACCTTCCCACCAACAGTGTATGAGAATTCCATTTGTTCCACATCCTCACCAAAACTGGTGTTTTCTAATTTTAACCATTATGCTGGATGTTTAGTGGTAGCTCATTGTGGTTTTAATTTACATTTCCCTAATGACTGATGATGTTAAGGCTTTTTCATGTGCTTAAAGCCATTTGTGTATCTTCCTTTGAGAAGTGTCTGTCAGAAGCTTTTGTCTATTTTGTAAATTGGGTGTTCTTTTTTATTGAGCTGTAGGAGCTTTTATGTATATATAAATATATATACATGTATAAATCTCTCTCTCTATATATCTACTATCTCCTGGATACCAGTTCTTTGTCAGATATATATTTTAAAGATATTTTCTCCCAATTTGTAGGGCTTCTATTAATTTTCTTAATGATGTCTTTTGATGAGCATATGTTTTTAATTTTAATGAAGTCTTGACTCACCAATTTTATGGTTTTTGCTTTCTCTATCCTGTCTACCATTGCCTATCTTATTGGAGAAGATGTTTCCATTTTTTAGTAAGTTTTATAATATTAGCTTTTAAGTTTAAATCTGTAATCCATCTTGGATTAATATTTGTGTATGATATGAAGTAGAGGTCAAGGGTTCTTTTCTCCATACAGATATTCAGTAGTTCTAACACATTGTTGCAAAACTTTCCTTTCTTATTGGATTCTTCCCTATTTGTCTCCCTTGTCAAAGGTCAGGTGACCACTAAGTGTGGGTCTATTTCTGGGCTGTCTGTGCTTTTCAGCATTGATCTGTTTGAAGATCTTAGAGGAGTACGACACTGTCTTGAAGTCAGACAGTGTAAGTCCTCCAACTTTTTTCTTTTCCAAGATAGCTTTGAACATTTTAGGTCCTTGTATTTCTGTTATGGAATCAGTTTGTAAGTTTCTAAAGAGAAGCTTCTGGGATTATGGTTAGAGTTGCATTCAATCTATAGATCAATTGTAGTAGACATTAATACTTACTCTGTGCCGGAGTGCCGTAAACTCTTGGGTTACATCAGTGGAGAAATCAGATCCTTGTCTCTGTGGGGCTTACACTCAGAGGGAATTTTTAAATTTATTTTCTGTCAGGGTTTGTTTGCTTAAGTTTCAGATGCTTCCCTTAGGAAAGATTCCTAGAGATAGAATTACTGAGTCAAAGAATATGAACTTTCTTCCGGCTCTTTAAACATAAGGCCAGATTACTTTCTAACCGAGCAAGTATTTATCTTCCGTGGAACCAAACACCCCACAGCATTTTGGAGTCCTAGACCTGTGTGATGATGCAGTTAGTTCCTGTTTTCCAAGCGCTCTGTCGAGGTAGGGAGCTGAGGTGGCTGTTCATGAAGCAGTCGGGGTCTGTTTGCTGTGGAACCCGTGTTAAACATTCAGTGTCCAAATAACAGGCCTAACGCTACAAGGGGTCCGAAAAGAGGTCAGCGTTGGCTGGAGTGATCAGGACGAGCATCCTGGAGGGGCTGCGCTCTGCGGTGGGCACTGAAGGAGATGGGAGGGCCCTGGGCAAATGAAGCGGGGGGCATTTCCAGTTGGGTGGCATGAGCACTTTGTTCCCTGTGTGGACCGGCCTGGCTGGAGCGGGGCGTGTGGGGCTGGGCAGCAGGTCGGTGTCAGTGGGCTATGAATGAAACCGGGTGCCGGGGCTCGGGCTGCACTCAGCGTACAGGAGAACGCCGCTGTTCCCGCTTTCCCTCTCCGCAGGTGCTGGGCTGTGCTGTGGAGCTCCCCGATATCAGCTGCCGGCAGTTTCTGGAGCAGCTCATTGGATTTTTTAGTTTTTACAATGGACCTGTTTCTCTGGCTTACAAGGTATGAGGGTAGCGTGGAGGAGCCTTCATGCGGGGCCTCTTGAGCAAAACCGTTATTGCCAGGACACAGCACTGACTCCAGGGTCTGCTATGCTCTGTATACACGTCGTGTCCAGCAGCAAGGCCAGGGCTCCCGGAGCCCCTCTCAGAGACCTCTGCTCCCCAGCGACGCAGGTCGTGTTCACTCCAAGTGTTCATCACCATCTCCACCCGCCCCCATCCCCCAGGGTAGGTGGAAAGAGCAGGGCCTGGTTGCCACCCTCCCCCAGCAGGTGCCCCGAGTCTGTGGTGGGTTGGTTGTCAAGGTAGGAGGTTGGGAGACCTTGTGTTCATAGGAAGTTCAAAACACACCCTCCCTTCAGGCCAGTTTCCGGTGTAAGGAATAATTTTTGTGGTCGTTGGGATCCTTGCCGAAGAGCGTGTCTCTCAGAATCTCAGATCCTGACCTCAGGCTCTTTCTGTTTTAGAACTGTTCTCAGGAAGAGCTGAGCGCCGAGTGGAATGCCTTCATTGAACAGATTCTGAAAAACACCAGTAATCTGCATAAGATATTCGCTTCCCTCTGGAACCTGGACCAAACTAAAGTAACATTCTCATCCCCTTTCTTGTTTCACAGATGGGAACAGGGCTTTTGGACACCTTTCTCTCTCCCCCGTCAATGAACTGTATGGAGAGGGGTGAACGGGATGCACCGCCTCCCCGTCGGGGTTAGACCCGACCTTGACTCCATGGTGCTGCTCACTGTGGGAGCTCGGGCAGGCCGTGCCCCAGCACCTCGCTCTTCTCACCCAGAAAACAGTGTCGTGGCCCCTGCCGCCCAGACTGTTGTGATGGGGAGATGAGGCAACCCCTAAATGACACAGAGTAAACACTCAGTGAGGCTGTTACTGTTATGATTTTGGTAATGCCCCAGAAATGGGAGAACTCAGTAATCTGAAAGTCCCCTTCTTGCCTGATATTAGTATACGATTTAATCTGAAAGTTCCCTTCTCACTTGATACTAGTGTATGATTTTAATTATTCTCAACATTAAAAGTGCCCAGTGGCTGCCGCACCTGGGAGGGAACGGTTGGGAAGTGTGTGTCTCCTCGAGCCCTCCCGTTCCCCACAGGCGTTTGGCAAAGTGCGGGTGGCCCCGTGGCAGGCCTGACTGCCCGCGCTACCTGTTGCTCTATGGCCTCGGTCTTAGGTGGACGTCACATCCTCATCATCCGGTGTTTTTAGGGACGTTAGGCAACTGAATCCTTAAGAGGAATGAGGCACTGAGGTGCGTCCCTGAGTGGAAGAGTGCGATGTTTTCCCTTTACATTATGGAATAGAGTTACGGGACCTGGGCAGGCGTCAAGGCAGCTGTGTCACAGTGGGGCGTGTGCGTCAGAGGGTGGCGGTGGGCCTCACCTAGTGCCATGGCCTGCTGAGACCTGTAGGCCTTCTCTCCCGCTGCCTGCTGGTCTCAGCACTGACAGGGTCTCCTGGTCACTGTACTTTGTCCCCATTGAGCAGCCATGGGCTCTATTCACTGAACCGTCCAGCTTCTGGAGAGGCCTCCTTATCCCAAGGTTTTAGCATTTTGAGGTGTCAGGAGTCCTGCGTATAGAAAGGACATGGGTTACATGTGACATGGTCTCCTTTTTCCAGGCTTTGGGGTATGACCTGTCCACTCATTGTACAAACCCCTGCCCGCTTTCCGTCCTTGCCAATTGGAAGCATGTTGACTTGGGGGCATGCTTCTCGCCCTGCACAGGTGGATCCCCTGCTGCTGCTGAAGGCGGCCCTCATCCTGCAGACCTGCCAGCGCTCCCCTCACGTTCTAGCTGGCTGCATCCTCTATAAAGGCCTGTGAGTAACGCCAGACCCTCTCCTCCACCCCAACCCCTGCTGCAAACCCGGCTGTCCCGATCGTGGGCGGGAGCTTTGTCGCGGGCCAATTCCACGTGGGCTGGTTTGGCAACTATCAGGTAGTTTAGATTTGATTTAGGGTACTGTCTGTCTTTGAGCAACACTGGGAAATTGGAAACTATTGAGTCCAGAAAAGAGGAAGAGAAAAGGTGGCTTTGAGGAGATCCCTGTAATTCTCAGGATGGGACAGGCCTTTATAGTTGTTGGCCTACATAACGCGGAGGCAAAGCCTCCAAGGCCACCAGCCAGCATGGTGAGTAAGGGGACGGAAGCCTGCCGGCCTTCCTCCTGCGGCTCAGCTTGGCAGGGCAGTGTCAGGCTTCCGCTCGCGCTCCTGCCAGTCTCGTGGGGGACCCGTCTCGTGGTAGCCTCTGAGATCAGTCTGCACCGCATCGTGCACTTGGAGGGCCTCTTCCTGGGCTGAGTGCCTAAGAGGCCCTCCCCGCGTCTCCCAAGGCCACTCTCCTTGCAGAGGGCTCGCCCGTCGAGGCGAGGCGCTGCTCTGTGCCCAGAGTTCTCTGGCCGCCAGGAGACGTGTGTGACTGGAGTAACTCCCCAGGCTCTTTGGCAGCTCCCAGGCTGTGTTCCCGGTCCTGGCTTCTCTTCCTTCCAGCCCTGTGCCCTTGGGCAAGTTGCTGGATCTCTGTCTTCTCTTCTGGGACAAAGAGACACTTTGTGGAGAGTGAATAAGGTGGCAGACATAGGACCAAGCACAGTCCCTGGTTCCCAGTAGCCCTCCGCATGTCCCTTTCCCCTTTTTTTCATCCCGGTGGTTCCGAACCAGCCTGCGGTGCTTCTAGGCTCCCTGTGACCTGGCCCTCAAAGGTGGTATTTTTTTCATTTTCATACTTTGTATTTCTTTTTTATTTTTAAATTATATACCGAATGCATGAACACATTCTCACTGTTAAGAAAAAAAAATGAACCCCAAAACACACAGCACAATTTAAAAGTTTCCCCTTCACTCCCTCCTCACTTCTGGCTGTCCCCACATTCTCATTTCCTTTGTTCTCCTTGTGTGTTTTCACACGTCTGTACATACATGTATATGTTGATTTCATTTATTTTTGCTCTCTATGTAAATGGGGTCGTATGGTTCCTCCACTTCCTGAGTACAGTGGAGACTTCCCAGTCCACATTGGCCCACCTCGCAGTAGCTGCACACTTGCTGGTGGTGTGACTGTCCCATGATTCATTTAACTCTTCCCTTTTTGATGGAAGTTTACAGTGTTTTCAATGATTTTACTTTTTTCCTCTGTAATAAATATTATTCTGCATACTTCTTGGTACATGCCAAGTCAAGGGTTTGGACATTTAAAATATTGATGGAAATTGCCAGAGTGCCCTCCATAAGGGCGTTACCAGTTGACACTTCCAACCAGCCGTGTCCCCGAGATCCGGGCCCCCGAGGGACGTTAGGACTCGCTCCAGCTCAGAGCCCTGCCGTGCACTTCGTCTCATGCTGCCCTTGTTCCCCTGTCCGACCTCCTAGGGTTGTCAGCACCCAGCTCCCACCCTCCCTCACGGCCAAGGTCCTGCTTCATCGCGCTGCACCTTGGGACCAGGTATTGTGAAGCCCGCCCAGTACGGGTGGGTGGGGTCGGCAATGGGGTGCTTGTTTCCCTTTGTCTTGCCGAGGCCCCGGCCGGGCAGCGTGATTTCCCTCGCGTGAATTCGCCAGCAGGGCTGAGAGAAAATGTGTCTTCCCCGCGGTGCCCTCGGGTAGTCGGTTTTCCTTCGGTCCAAGCAGGACTGTGGGAATTGGACTCTCCGCAAAGATGGGCTTCACATCACAGAGCCCTTGGCTCTTTGGGGATGCTAAAGGATGGCTGAGGAAGCCAGAAACATTTAAAATACTTCCATCATATATTTATTGTTTTTATAATGAAGACACGCCACCGGGGCTCACTGAGAATAAAACCGCCCACAAGAGAGCTGCACAGAGACAGTTGCTGCTGGCGCCTGGCGTCCCTCCTTCCAGGCCTTTTCCTTTGTCGTACTTGTTTATTCTCAGCCTGTGAAGTTACAGGTTTGAATGTACTGTAAGGCGCGCTCTTCGCACTTACTAAGCCAGTGGACACTTAGAGCGATGGGGGGCCTCTCACCAGGCTCCTTCCCTACGCTTGGTGGGCGCGGCGTCAGCACAGTCTTCCTGGTAAACTGTCTGGGAGCGAGTTCAGGGTGCTCTTGTCTCTCTTCCTCGTAAGGGAACTCCTAGGATTCAATCCTAAGGAAATCATCTACCTGTGAAAAAAGGTTTACACTCAAATCCTTATCACAACAGGATGTGTGAAAGTAAAAAATCAGATAGACCTGAAATGCCTGAGATAGGAGTTGGCAAACTTGCCTGCAAAGAAAGTTTTATTGGACTGCTTCAAGTTATCAGAGCAGGTTGACTAGTTGCAGCAGAAACTATATGGCCCATGGAGCCAGAACTGTTTACTGTTGCTCCCTTTACAGAAGAAAGGCCTTTTAGACCCACCTTTTTTGCGGGTCTAAAGTAGAGAAATGACTCATTCACGGATACCACCTTAAACTCCGTACAATTTTATTCAGCCATTTAAAATGGCCAAAGATGTTTTGATGGCAGGACTTGTATGTTACTGTTTAAGCAAAAAAATAGGATGTCATATACTGTGGTCTCAAAGTATTAAAAAATAAATAAATTTAAAGGAAAATATGCCTAATAATTATAGTATTAGGTTGTGGGTAAGGGAATTATATGGGATTTTTTTTAAACGAATTTTTGTTTAGAGTAAGCTTATTTAAAGAAAGAAAGCCACATCATTTCATACGGATGAAAGTCATTTTGGCCAGAAGAGCCGTTTTGGTTTTGTTTTGGTGGGTCCTTTAGAACCATTAGGTTGGGAAGGCTGGAAAGCTATTTTGAGAAAATTCCCAGGTTTCTTACCTTGATCGTGAATCAAAGTAAATGCGAGAGAGCTGGCATGGCACTTTGTTTAGGTCAAGTCCTTTACCGTGAGGGTCACAGGACCTCCACATTTTTGTTACCGTGCAACTCGTGTGAGTTCTGTGCCAGGACTGTGGTAAGTGAGCCTGTGTTCCAGAGGATGAGCTCTCTGGAAGTAAAAAAGAGAACTCAAATCCCCTTTTATTCCCAGAGAGGGGAGACTGAGGAGTCCGAACGCACAGCTGGGCGTGGGTGTGGGTGGAGTCGCTGCCCCGGAGGTCCCTGAGGGGGCCCAGGTCCTCGCCTGCCCCCGGCCGCGGTGGTGAGCAGGCAGCTCGGGGGAGCCGCTCTTCCATCTGCTCCACTTTTGGCATGGGGTGGGGACAGGCGTTCTGGGACATACGTATTCCATGAGCAGATGGCCCAGTGCCGTCCTGATGGTTAGGTCAGGAGGAGGATGTGGTGGCCAGCGCCAACTTCTGTGTGTGTTTATTTTCAGAGAATACCTGCGGGAGGGGCTGCCTTGCAGGAGTGTGGTAAGTAGTGAGGCGCATGGCTACGTCCTGAGAATGCAGCCTGCGTGCTGCCTGTCCCTGTTCCAGTCCTATGACAGTCGTCCCATATGGCCACCTCATCTGCTCGGAAGATGAGGGAAATAGATAGCATAGAGTTTCAAGTACGAAGTTAGCCATCAAAATCCTAAGTGTAAATAAGGCTCAAGATTGTAGGCACGCCTTTTTGAAAATTAAACTTACTGGGCGACGTTGGTTGCTAGCGTTAACTGTTGGTTCATACGGTACAGCTCTGATGGAGTGTCTGCGTTGCATTGTGTAGGCAGACCTGTTAAATCCCCTTTCAGATCCTCCTCGCCTCGCGCTAATGGGCTGGCTCCGACAGGGCCCCGGGAGGCTGACTGGGAGAAGGTGCGGGATGGGGACGCACCCCCAGGAGGGAGCGTTTGTTTTATTTTGAAGCATAAGTTGGACACATCCCTTTTGTCAGTTGGAACTGCTTTTTTCCCCAGTTTATGTCTATTTTTTGTTTAAGTGCCACTAAATTTCCTTCCACCACACGTCACCCTCCTCCACAGCTGGGCGTGGAGGCGCCCCATGGGCTCTTGCTTTCTGATCACAGAAGTCGAGGCTGCGGTTCTGTGATTCTGCTCTGCGCTGAGGAGAGCCTTGCTGCTCTGCTCGCTGAGCCAGCAGGGGCAGCGGGGGGGGCCTGCACCACCCCGAGAGCAGCCACCGCCCTCTCCTCTGGTCCGGTGGAGGGCCCTGTCCATGTTGCTTTGTGATTCTAGGCGTGGTCCTTCCCCCAAATGTCCACATCACGCCTGTGTTCGTGACGGAAGAGGAAGCCGCCAGCCTCCACGAGTTCCCAAGGGAGCACGTGACTGGGTAAGGCAGCACAGCGTTGCTCTGAAGCCACGCTTTAGGGGCTCCCTCATGTGGGTTTGTCCATACGGGCCCCTGGTGCATCGCACCCGTCCTTAACTCCATCTTCTCTGTGCTCTGCCCTGGAAGGGGCTTCTGGAACTTCAGCATAGAGATAAGAAGCAACTGGTATAGTGGTGTGAAGTGTGGGTTTCAAACCCCAGATCTGTTGCTTATCAGGTCTATGACTTTGCTCAAGTCCATTCACTTCCTGAGCCTTAATTATTCCCCCGTAGAATGGGCCTGGTAATACCTATTTCAGGGGCTCATGGTGGAAGTTGGAAATAGTGCACATGTGGTACCCAGTGTAGGGCTGACTCATCGTAGACCCCAAATGGGGGTGTCCTTACCCCTCGGGTCCTGCTGTTTGCAGTAGGTGACCCTGGTACCGCTGTGAGAAGCCTGAGAGCCGGGTGCTGCCTTATTGTTACCCGGTGGTTTGACCTCCTAGGCCCTGCGGCCTCGGGCACCCACCCGCCGCAGCTGGCGGTGCGTTAGTCTCCCCCAGGGGGCACTTGCCCTGCTCTCAGTCACTGTGCCCTCCCCTCTCCCTTGTTCGCCAGCCCTCCTGCGTCTCCAGCCGGACTCCAGGAGCGCTCTGCCCGGCGTCCTCCAAAGGGCTGGAGCCCATCTGTCATGAGAGAAGACAGCACTGGGCCTGAGGAACCCGTGGCCTGGACGTGGGTAGCCACCCCCGAGTGCAGGTCCCCTGACGTGGCCTGGCCAAATGGCACTGGAGAGAAGGGGCACTGCCCTGATGGTCATCTGGAGAGCACCCAGCCTGTGGGCCCGCGTGGTGCGGCCCAGGACTGGTGTCCAGATCTCCGCCGCGCCCTGGTGACGGAGCCTGCCTTGCCCAGGGGGAAAGAGGAACTGGACTTGTCTGAAATCCACATTCCAGAAGCTCAGGAAACGGGAGCATCCTCAGGCCATTTTGCCTTCTCGAATGTGTGTGTCCTGGATGGTGGTGGTCCTTGTGACAGGCAATCTGTCGGCGACTCTGGGAACCTGGAAACGAAGCCATTGGAGGCCCTGCCTATGGGCACAGCCGCCGCATGTCTCCTCTCTTCCTCCGCCCCTGACATGCTCACCCAGAACGGAGCCCTCAAGCAGGATGGAGACCTCCCTGGGGACCATGGCCAAGCCCCCCTGCCCAGGGAAGACCTCCCCCCGAGAAGGACGAGCTGGCCATTGTCATCACCTCGCTTAGATTCGAGGCAGAAAGGAACCAGGCTTCCTGTGGGGGAACAAGGCACGGAGTGGCATGCGGATGGGGCTCTTGAGAGCCGCTCAGTCCGCGGCCTGGAGTGCTGCTCGGGCTCTGCAGACTCCCCCGACAGCGGCCCCTCTGCAGACAGCGCTGACTTCGAGGCGGCCGCAGCATCCCGTGGAGAACTCGTTCGCGTGGCCCTCTACACTCACAGTGTCAAAGGGCTGGTCCTGTCCCTGCTGGCTGAGGAGCCGCTGCAGGGAGACCGTGCAGCCATCGAGGAAGTGGTGAGTGTGCTCAGCCCCAGCCCAGCCCCGCTGGGGCCCCTCCTGCCTCCTGGGAACGTGGGCAGGCCGGGGAGGCGCTCCCTCACAGCCCGGCCCTGCTGCGCGGCCCACGCGGGAGTCCTCGTTTCCCCGGGTGGGTGGGCGTGTGCCTGCCTCCCTGGGCCTGTGGGGGTGAGGGAGAGCAAGTCCAGTGCAGGGCTTGTTTTATTGCACTTTCCTGCTTCTTTCAGTTTCTTGGACAGGGGAAGACCAAAATGGAGTCTTGGCTCTGGCCGTGTGATGGGGGTCCTCGTCTGCAGTGTGGGGGTGGTGACAGGCCCTGTCCTTCCAGACCCTGTGATCATGCAGGCAGCGACCACGCGCAGAGCACTGCTGCGGTCTCGCTCCTGAGCCTGGGCAGCTCTAGGGTCTGAGTCGGCCGGAGCCTGCCCTCCGCACAGGTCTCCGCCCGCGTTGGGAGTTCGCCGGAGCCCCCGCACTGCACCGAAGTGGGGCTCCTTTCTAGAGGGCCGAGGCGCCTGAAGCCCCAGCCCCAGCCAGCTCCAGCAGGCTCCCTTTAACGAACCCATTCCAGCCCCTTTCCCACATCCTGGGGTACCGTCCGGGGCCCACCCTAGAGGTGCAGTTGCTATAGTGACAGCTTTGCTGTAGTTGACTGGGAAGTGGCGGCAATAGGAATAGGAGGTTGAAATCGCTGCAGGGCGAGTGGTGTCCTGGGCTTACCTTGTGTTTGTTCTTAAATCTATATTATTGTAGGCCAGTCTTATTAGCATGCAGGGCTTGTGACCCTCCGCTTATGAGCAGGTCACCTTGGAGCTTCGAGGAGGAGGAGGGGCACAGCTTCCTTTGCTCAGAGCCCCAGGCCAGAGACTGCTCCTCCCCAGACGTGCCCGGCTTCTCTCTCCCCTTTTCCACAGACATGAGTCACCCAGTGGGGGCTCGTCTGCTTCCATTCCGCCTCCACCGCTGCTCTGAGTGAGGCCTCCAGCGAGGTCTGCAGTTTCGTACCCCTCGGCTCCCTGCCCCGGCCTTGGTTTTCATGGTCTTATTGCTTAGCCTTGAGCTGTAGACATGTTATTTGGGGGCCCATTGTTTGGGTGCCGTAAAGTAGATACGGTATCTCTTACCTTCCCCCAAAAAAGAAAAAGAAAATATAGTCCAGGTTGCACTTGAAGGCAGAAGTAAATTAAGCTGTAGTCTGCACATCGGTGCGCGCACCACTTCGCGTCTGCCCTTCCAGCCAGGCTGGAGGACAGTTCCGGTCTGGGGTCGGCACTGTGGCTCCCATTTCACCCGCGAGAAAACCGGGCCCCATCGAGATGAAGGCCTCACGCGAGTGGTGGGGCCAGAGCTCTTGCTTGTTTCCCATCCCCCCACCCCCGCCTCTCTGTCCCGAAGGATCTGACCTTGGCATGATCGGCAGGAAGGTGAAGAACAGGGCACATGCCCTGCTTTCTGTGGCTTTCGCTATGTGGACACGGCACTTGGCCTGTCGCAGCCCGTCCATGCTGTTAGGACAGCCCCTCCTAACTCCAGGTGGAGCAGGGTTTAGTGTTGGGGAGGCCCCAGGAAAGAGGGCAGCTCAGTGGGAGAGGAGAAGCTCATGTTTTCCAGAGAGTTGCTGGTCTGGAGTGGGGTTGGACGACCAGACACGAAGTTTGTCTGTGTTACAATTTTGGGAGAGATCCTTTATTGTCTTTTTGTCCCAGACCTGATTTCTGTCCACTGCTGTGTAATAAAGGACGTTCCCTGCAGAATGGCCGGGGCAGCTCAGCTGTGACAGTGAGCACACCCCCTTGGAAGGGCCCCTTGGTTATGTTACGCACTGCCACGGCACCCTGGTGTCGTTTTGCCATCTTGCCTTTCAGTGGATCAGCTGCCACTCTTTATGTTTGCCCAGTGTAGACGGCTGGGGGGTGGGTGGAGGGGATGAGCCCCGGAACAGCCAGGAGAGATGGGGATTAGTTCGGAGGGAACAGACTAGACTCCCACCAGAGGGCACCATAGAGCCACTGATGGTTTCCTGCTCAGAGCCCAGGGCATTCTCACTGACCTTCAAATGCAGCCGTCACACTAGTTACTCCCGGCTGCGAGGGGCACTGAGCTGTGTGCAGCCGATGAGGCTGGAGGTCAGTGCAAGAGTGTGATGCTGAACTATGAAAGTGCACCCCTCCCCCCATGAAACCGATGCTTCTGAGTGTGTGCGTGTGCTACGGCACAGTCTCTTCTGCACCCTGTGGCACACTTTGACATTCGAGCCACTCGCTTTGCTACGCACTGGCAGCAGGAGGATGCAGGAACGAGCCCCGGCTCCATGGCTCCGAGGGCAGTGGCGAGGTTTGCGTATGTAGCAGTGTCTGTCGCGGTGGCAAACTTTCAATGCTAAGGAACACGTAGCAGGCATTGTCTACATTGCACAGCTATCAACTCTGCTGTTGCAGTACAAAACCTCAGACATGTGTAAGGAAGTGGCGTGGTTGTGTTCCAGTAATACTTGATTTATGGACACAGAAATTGGAGCTTCCGTAATTTTCACATACACAATATTATTCATTTGATTTTTCCCCCCAATCCTGTAAAACTATAAAAATTATTCTTAGCTCTCAGGCTATGCAAAATCAGATAATGGGCTGGATTTGGTCCAGGCCATGGATTGCGGACCCCAGAATATATGAAAGCAGCTGGTTGCTAGTAGAAAAGTGTCCTTGTCATCTGACATAGTATTTTGTGATTGTGCATTTACGGTTAAGTGATTGTATCTTGAGTACTGGTCAGGCAGAAGATTCCAGAAGCAGAGCTGAGTGTCTACAGGGTAGCTCAGGTTTTGGCATGTCTCACTCTGTGTTCCCATTGGTCCTTCCTTTGGGCACTAGCTCAGGATGGCAGGGCTGTTACCGGGTTCCCCAGGTCCAAAAGCTTCCGGGGAGGCCGTGGTTTGACTGCATGGCGAGCGCTGTGTGGGCGCGCACATCTGTCAGACTCTGCTGGTTTGGCTAGACAGCGATCTGAACTGGAGATACTTATCACTCCTGACCGCATGTCCTTTGACTTTACACCTCCATGTAAACCAAATAGCTCAGAAGCTGATCGTCCTCCCTTGGGGTTTCCTCGTCCTTCCGTTCACGTCGCGGGCAGTACCGAGCCTAGCCTAGGGGCCGGCGCTCTGCAGGGCGCTGCAGGCACACAGGTGGGCGCGAAAGAAGGCCGCCTGCGCCTTGCCAGTTGCTTTCGAATAGCATTTGTAAGACACGCAGACAGAAGAACTAGTGTAAGCCCACTGTACCGCCAAAAATAACCCTGAAGCTTCATAACATTCATCTCAGAAGCCCTCTGTTCGCATCTCTGTATTCCTCATGCACACTAATTTTTTACACAGGTCTTGAAAAATTGTTCCTCCACAGACAAGTCATATGTGCATATTAAAGAGATACACTTCCTTAATAATAATTTTCATTTTCTTGATTCTTTATAAAAATGCCTTTTTCTAGGGTTGCATTTAGAGTTTGCATAGGATTTCTGTATATGCTATCTCACCTGATCCACTCAGCAGCCCTGTAGTGGTCCCATTTTGCAGGTGGAAAAAAAAAAGAGGTACAGAAAATTCAGTAACTTCCCCCTGGTCATCTGGCTAGGAAGAGGCTGGACCAGAATGTCCTTCACCTGGGATGCATCAGCTGCGGGGGCCAGTGACCTTCTTGTGGCTGAAGCAGCCCCAGGGGAGCCCCACGAGGCCCCGTTTTAGGTTGAGTCCACCAGGATGTGACCGATGTGCTTGGTGAAGCCCAGAGTGGATCCGAAGAACACCACACGGCTGGAGTAGAATATTTTAAGGATGAGAAAGTAAATCCTTAGGTTGCGATCATTGTGTATGGCTTGATCCTATTTTTATTTTACAAAGAAAGCATCACTCTAAATGGTATCGTCCCGTGTTCTCAGCTGTACTTGCACGTGATGTTTCCCTGGGAGGGTTTTTAAAATACAGGTGCTTGGGCCTCATCTCCCACGCAGCCTTTTCAGCCGGTTCCTCCTCTGAACGAGAGCACAGAAAACCGTTTGACTGACATGTCTCAGTCCTTCCATGCACCGTGCACAGCCGGAACTGCTGTGGGTGCACCGGAGAGCCGTGAGCTCCTTGCAGACAGTGAAGGACTTGTCAGCCCAGGCCCGGCTGAGCAGTTCTGGGAGCGTGGTGTGGGCCTGGCCGCTGTGCTGTGAGAACATGCGGCTTCCATAGGCAAGTCATAGCGAGAGGGAGAGGTTCAGGAGGCTGTAACGGTGGCCATTTCTGGATGGAGGCATTATGGGCCATTTCCTCTTTGCTTTCTTCCTCCTTTTAAAATTTATTTTTCTGTTCACTTCCATTTTCCGATTTTTCTACAATTTAAAACATTCAAACGTAAGGGCAGAAGTTAATACTTCTCTAAAAACAGGTAAAAACATTGGTCAGAGTCCCTTTTTTGCTAAACCAAGTAGCTGTGCAGATGTTCTTGGGATGAGTCTTTGCTCAGTGTGGGGCCCGCAGAGGCCAGATCTGCAGCCATGTCCCTGGTTGACTCTTGGCAGTACCACAGCAGCCTGGCGTCCCTGAACGGGCTGGAGGTCCACCTGAAGGAGACGCTGCCCAAAGACGAGGCCACCTCCTCCAGCAGAACGTACAACTTCACGCATTACGACCGCATTCAGAACTTGCTGACGGGTAAGAGGCCAGGTGTGGACCCAGGTGCCTCCTGGCAGTGGGGAGGGGGGCGGGGGGCAGGTTAGAACTGGGTCCCAGCACACGGTGGCTGTTGGCACTGTCCAGAGCTGGCTGGTGTGCAGTTAGTTAGGATGCTGCTTCCTGACTTGGAGCCCAGCTCCCACTGTGTTTAAAATTTGCTTGGCAAACACTTCCTTGCTCATTTGTCTTTTTTTGGCTGTTTCTCCAGTGTTTTGAGAGAAGCACACACATGTTCAAATATCTGTGATAAGGTTCTGCCTCAGAATTTGGATAGTCGTGCACAAACCAGTGTTGCTTATTATCGGGCACAGTGTGTGCTCTGTTGCTTGGGGGCAGCTGTCAGGGCCCAGCACCCTGTGGGCAGGCCTTTGTCCCTCCACGCCCGGCACCTGCACTCATGGCCGTGGGCCATGCGTGGTCCCAGTTGACACTACGAGCGTCAGGGGGCTGTGGGGAAGGGGTCTGCTACTCACGACCTCTGTGTCCTCTTCTGGAAGCGAACCTGCCACAGGTGGCCGCACCCCAGGATCGCCGCTTCCTCCAGGCCGTCGGCCTGATGCACTCCGACTTTGCCCGGCTGCCCTCGCTGTACGAGATGACTGTCAGGTGAGCCTCCCTGCGGGTTGCCCTCGCAGCCCTGCCCCGGCAGCCGCCTCCCCCGGGGCCCCAGGCAGAGCCGCCCTCATAACTGGATGCAGGGCACCCGGCTGCTGTCTCTGAGGCTTCCGTCTGTTTTCCCTGCGGCTGCTGTTATCTGCTCTCATGCTTTTCTGGGTCCCACCCGGGGCTCTGACCTGCTGTAGACGCTGGACTTCACCAGCGAGGACCCCGAGGTCTGCGCCAGCTTGGAGTTCTCACTCGTTGCTGGGGAGCAGGGTCTCTGTCTCCTGGTCATAAATGATGCTGAAGTGGTGTCTTTCCTTTAACCTGACAAGCCACGCGTGCGCATCACAGGCCTCCAGCCTGCTCCCCAGACCCTGCAGGAAGCGCGCCCCCCTTGCCTGCCAACCCCCAAAAGGTGCCCTGGGGTGATAGTTCGGTGTATACTGCTCCAGGCTTGGTTGGCTTTAGTTTTCATTTTTTTTTGTATATAAAACGCAGATTATTAGTATTTAGTTTCTTTTATTTTAATAGTCTTTCTTCTAGCACACAGGATCCTGTAATATACTGTTTCACAAGTTCCTTTTCCACTGTGTTGTGTGCCCTGAACACCTCCATGTCAGTAGGTAGAGATCTATTCATTATTACTGTAACTTACAGTATTTAACCAACTGACTTCTGCTTTTCTCCCTACATGCTTCTCTGTGAAACCTGTCGCAGAACATAAGGCAAGTTAGAAGGCCGGGGGGAGGGCCTGTTGTGTGTGCAGTAGCACAGTCCGCCCTTGGAGCAGTTTGGGCGAGCGCATTTTTTCCCCTCGTTTTACAAATGAGGAAATTGAAGGACAAGTAAGATAAGTGACTCGCCCCAGGGTCACATCCTTAGTAAGTGGCACAGCCAGGATTGAATCCTGGTCTCTCCGATTCTAAAGTACATGTTCTTCCCACACACATTCCCAGGCTCGGGGAAGGGCGGGCACGGGGGTGTGCCTGGAGGCTGGGCCCGCACGGGGACGAGGCTCGGAGGCCTGCTGGCCGTTCCGGCGGCCCAGTGCCTTCTGCGGCCGATGTTCCATGCTGTCTTTCCACAGTAAACGTGTCTTTGTGGCTTAAGTCAGCACTGCCCCAGGCTGGCAACCTAGATGTGGTTTCCGCCTGCAGTCACTGGTTTGGGAACTGGCTTTATTGGGTGTGGGCATGTGTATCTATTTTGTGAGCAATGAAAATAAATAAAATGTAAGCATCTGAGCCATCAACCATGTTACGGCCCTAGAGCATTTTACCTTTCTTGGAGCTGAGAGGGTTTTAGCATTGGGGTATGTAGCTTATTTTAAGAACAGTAATAGAAACAGTACCATTTCTGTCCTGGGTGGTGTGGCTCAGTGTGTTGAGTGCCGGCCTGAGAACCGAACGATCGCTGGTTCAGTTCCCAGTCAGGGCACATCCCTGGGTGTGAGCCAGGTCCCCAGTAGGGGGTGTGTGAAAGGCAACCACACATGGATGTTTCTCTCCCTCTTTCTCCCGCCCTTCCCCGCTCTTTAAAAATAAATAAATAAAATCTTCAAAAAAGAAAAAGAAACAGTACCACTTCTTCAAAACCACCATGTGCTAAGCTATTTACATGTATAGGAATATACATATATTCCGACTCATTTAATCTCTTTAAAAATCCCAAGGAGAGGATGCACTCTTGTCAGGTCCATTTTACCAATGAGAAAGCTGGGGCTCAGCAAGGCTGAGTAACTTAGCCGAGGGCACACAGCCGGTCTGGGATTGGCTCGTCACCACCGGGCCCCGGGGCCCCGCTTCAGTCTAAAATGACCCATCCGTGACTTGTCCTGCTGGTCCAGTGAAGGGCACGAAACACACCTGCGGCCCTTCCAGCCCCGTGAGGTCCCTCCCAGAGGGAAGAGCTGGAGGAGGAGGGCAGGGTCCTCCTCCTTCGCGTAGAGAGAGACCTGCGTGAGGGGAACCGTAGTGGCCCCTGACTCCGCCCTCTTTTTACTAGATTTGGGGAAATGGGGGCTCAGCGGGGAGAGTTTGATGCAGGATCCAGGAACCAGCTGGTTGGCTGGCTGGGCCCAGAGTCGGTTCCTCTCACACAGGTCCTCCGTTGCACCAAACCCTCATCCCTCCCTCTACTCTGGTGTCCTCGGGCTTCCTGTCACTTTATTTCACATCCACTCTCCTTACCCCTCGCTCCCCTTACATCCAGCCCTCCAGTGTGTGTGGCGGATTAGACCCCCTCCTCAGATACTTGTCACAGAGGCCTGACAGCATCACACATCCCCAGGCCTCAGGGTCCTCATCTGTCAGATGGGATCACGCCACTAGCATGTGAGGCCACGCAAGGCATGGAAAGCATTTCGCACAGCTGCTTTTTGCAAAGCACGCGCCCATCAATCCACTTACTCAGTTAGTGTAACTTCAGGCCCTGCGGCGGTGGCCACCGTGGACAGTCCCAGCATCCAGCGAGTTGAAGGGAAGATGGTTATTGGCAGGGAACCTGCAATCCCAGTGAATAAGTGGAACCTGGAGCCGTGACCGCTGCGCCCACAGCCCCTGGTGTGCTGAGCCACACTGGAGCAACCTCGTGCGGGCTCCATGTGATCTCAGGTCTGTCAGGCGGTAGCAGACTGCTGTCTTCTCTCTCTGTCCTGTAGAAACGCCTCCACGGCTGTGTACGCCTGTTGCAGCCCGGTCCAGGAGACCTACTTCCAGCAGCTGGCATCAGCCGTGCGGAGCTCCGGCTTCCCGAGCCCCCAGGACAGTGTCTTCAGCCTTCCCAGCAAAGCCAAGCAGAAGCTGCTGAAGCACGGGGTGAACTTGCTTTGAGCTTGGCTGCTGTGGGCAGGTCATCACCCGGGAGATGACTGTCAAATCGAGCACTAAAAAAGGAAGCTCTGCCTTTCTAAACAGAAAAAAACCTCTTTATTTTCCCAGAATATTTCCCTTCTTCTTTACAAACTGAGGATGTTTGAATGTTTGATACTCCATTTGCAGATTGGAGTGGGGCAGGGTGGTTCTTCAGGTCCTCAGACAGGGAGCGCGTGATAAAGACCGTTATTACATTGGCCGTGTCGGGGCCGGGAGAGGTGTGTTGGGGCCTGGACAGGCATGTTGGCTCCTTGTACCCAAGAGCTGCAGGGCCAGTTAGACCCGATCACATGGAGCCTGAGGCGCCTGGCATCTGCCACTGTTCCATCCCAGCCTGAACGCGTATCCACAACTCATGTTGGCATTTTTTCTAGAACCTAGTCGTCCCTAGTCTAGTGTTTTCAGCCGTGTCTGCAGCCATGTCTGCAGACGGGAGGAGGTGTGACCACACAGGAGGAGCTGCGTCTGTTGGCAAGGAGACCAGACAGCCACTTCTCGGTTAGAGGGTTAGAGTGTCGTCAGAGTTGTCCTCCCGGAGGGGCCGGGACAGTTGGTGGTGGAACCACCTTGTTTGAATTCTTCTGAAACCAGAGTGCGGATTGGGAGCCTGTTCTTTGGACACCCATCGTGGGGGCAAACCTTGATCATGTGGAACGGAGTTAGGGGTTAGTGGCAACCAAAAGCCCCGCGGTGTGGAGGCTGGAGAACAAGGCGATGACCGTGCGTCTTCAGATGGACTGGGCTGTGTGGCCAGTTCCACTCGAGCGAGTGTCCCCACGTAGGGGTTCGCAGAATGTTTGGGGCAAAAGCAGAACTGTGCTTTTCAGCAGTAGCTGTGTGTACTGTGTGCAAGGGAGCCACATTTGTCTGTGTGTTTCTGGGCCGGTGTAGTTACACCAGTTCTATTACATTGCAGTCAGATGCGTCACGGGCATACGGTGCAGATCGAGGAGGAACCCAGGGTGCTGGCCAAGAAGTCTGTCTGTATGGCTGTTTCCGTAAAACAAAGACACGTTTTCATTTTCACCAATAACTTTATTGATTCGGATATTTTGAATATGTTGGCTATCTCCTGCGTGGTGTAACACTGGTTGTTCTCGAGGAATGTTTCCATTTGATTGCTATCAACTTCAGTTGGTCCACCTGACCGTGGAGCATCGTCCAGCGAGAAATCGCTAGCACTAAATTTCACAAACCACTTTTGATTCGTTTGATTAGTCACAGCACTTTCTCCATACGCTGCATTTCAGTTGCATTTTTGCCTTTCTTGAAATAACCAAATATAATATGCCGAAAATATTGTGTATTTTCTTCCATCTTCTGTATTTAAATGGCTACACAAAAATTCACCAGTTTTGGTTAATGTTTTTTTTAATGCACACTGAAATGACAGTTGTCACAATACAATTTAACAAAATTGTTTTGAATGAAGGTAAAGACAACTAAGCGCTATTAGAATCATCTTACGGGGGTAAAAAAAACAAATGAACTTTTTGGCCAACCCAGTAATTGCCAGAGTTGTAACTGAATGTTTCCTGGAAGAGTCCATCTGAAAACTGTGATGTTAATAATTTCATGTGAGTGAACAAATGCCTAATGTTTATGATGTGGTGTCTTTTTCTTCAACTTTCCAAGGGCTAAAATAAAATAGCAAAAAATGTTATTGAGTTCTGAGTAATTACATACATAGTAACATTTCTAGTGACAAAGGTAAGGTATTTTACATATGTACGTGTATGTACGTATGTACATATTTTGCTCGGACACATCGGTCTCTTCCTTGCCTGACCCAGCGTGGCCAGGTGGAGAAGGTGTGCTCCAGGATGGTCTCTGCGAGGGGACGGGTTGCAGCCAGCTGCTCCAAGCAGCACCAGGCTGGCCCATGACACCCTTTCACCCTCCTGCCACTCGCTGGCCTAAGAGGGTGACCTTCCAAGATGGAGGAGGATTGTATCTCCAGCTAGGAAAAATGCATATTTTCTTTCTTCCCTGCTAAATTCTCCAAGAAAAAAATTCATCACAAGTCTCTGTGCCAAACCACTCAAACTTCATGACTCACTTACGCATAAGACATTCCTTTTCCTTTTCTCTTGCTGGGTATTTTTAAGCCGCCAAACTTTCCCTTTTGCTCACTGGTGCTCCAGAATCACAACACCCCCAGGGTCTTGAGCGGCTGGAATTACAAGCTGTTGTGTGTTGAAACAGGCAGAGCTGGCGCCCAGAAGCATTTTCATCCCCCAACTGAGCTTGGCTAACTGCCTGCGTTCAAGGGCTCCATGCAGGGTTCTCCAGGAGAACCGCGCTGGGCTGTCGCTGGGCCCCTGCTTAGGGGTCGGGCCATCGGCAGGTCTAACCGTATTAGTTTTGCATCCAGAGACCGCTCTTCCCATCTCATCTCCCATGGCTGCTGCTGAGTTAAAAATGTTTTTAATACAAAGTGCTCTGTTCCCAAGCATCAGCGCTCCAGGCGACCAGGCACTTCCCTTAGCGGGGTCTCGACAGTCTGACGCCGAGCACAGGGTTAGCGCAGCAGAATGCAGACCCACATGCAAAGGTCGCTGTAAAATGTGTCCATGGATTCTCGGCGGCAAGTTAGGGACCTAATTCCTCTCCCTTGAGTGGGGGTCACACTTCGTGACTTGTTTCTAACGAAGAGAATGAGGAAAATGGCATTGCGACTCAGGTAGGTTATAAAACACACGACAGCGTCCATCTCTCCCAGTTCACCTTTCTGGGGGCAGGGGGCCGCTGACGCTTCGCAGCCCTGAGGGGAAGCCCTGGTGTGGGGCCCCTGCAGACAGCCGCGCAGGTCCTGCGGCCCCTGCCAGCATCCTGCCTGCGCCTCCGTGAGAACCTGGGCCCGAGCATCACGCTAAGCCACTTCTGAATGTGTATTTCAAGCCCTTCTTCTGGGGTGATCTGTTCCACAGCAACGGGTAATGCATTGCATGCCCATATCTCATCCTCAAACTAGGTCCTTATATGACTTTGGTACATGGACTCTTCAGCCAAATGCTAGACCTAAAAGCTTCAGCCTCTGTCCCAGCTTCCTCCTCTCCCACCTTGGAGAAGTGGGCTGGTCCACCAAGGAGAAGAAGGTGAGTGCCTTTCACCTTTCTCCCCACAAGTTCCAGGGCCTGGTGTTAACGGCCAGCAGGGTCCTTGCTTCCTCTGGGCCTGGCCTGTGCCCTTTTTGTTCCCCAGTGTTCCGCGTGCCTCCAAGCAGGGCACCCCCGGCGTGGCCCCCTCCCCTGCTTCTCTAGGAGGGGTGTGGTGCAAGCCCCGGGGAGCAGCAGGGACACACCCCCAGCAGCCTGAGGGCCATCAGCATGGGCGCGGGAGGACAGGCAGCATGGTGGCAGAAGGGGGTTCCCTGGCTGCGGCTCCTTCCCTGGACCTAGGATGCACGTGTCACCAGGAGAGGCAATGGGGGGAGGGGTCAGTCCCCCTCACCTATTTTCTGGTCGAATAGCCAGGGCCTCCAGGGTGTGCGTTCCTGCTGTTGAAGCCTCTGGAGCCTCTCGCCTAGGATCCCAGTTCAGCCCTCCAGGCTCAGCTGTGGCTACTTTGTTCAGCATTTTGTCCTCTGCCTCCAGCCTTGTCCCCCAGTACAAGACCAAAGACAGCTCTGTGATGGCTCAGTGTCTGTCACCTGTGAACCAGAAGGACTAAGTTCCCTATGGAGTGATTAGTAGTGGCAAATAGATTCCTGCTGGGAGAAGGTCTCTGGTCCCTTTGGGGACATTTGAGCCTTGTCAAACTGCTTTTCCCCCTGCAGGGAAGCATCTGTGCTCACCTGCTCTTGTCACCTTGAGAGCATTGGCAAGTGGAGACCGGATCGTGGTGGAAGTCACCCTCTCTGGTGTCTCTCCTGAGTATTTTAACCTCCTCGGTGGTCCTTTACAATGTGGCTGAGTTACTCTCGATGCCTTCCCGTCATTGCTTCCCTGACACCCCATCCTGCAGTGAGCGGCGATGCCCCTCCGCTGTGTGAGCCAGCCTGAGCTGAACGGTGGCCTCCCAAGCATCCAGTCCTAATACCTGGACCCCGTTCACCTCACATGCTGCTGGCTTTGCAGGCGTGACTGCGTTAAGGTCTTGAGATGCAGAGATTATCCTGGATTATCCAAGTGGGCCCTAAGTGCCAGCTGGCTGAGTACACAGAGACACAGATGGACCTCGGCCACAGAGGAGGCGGAGACTGCAGTGACAGAGTCAGGGCTACCTGGGGCCGCCGGGGCGACCAGATGCCAGAAGGGGCAAGGGATGGCTCCTCCCCGAGTCTCGGGAGGGACTGCAACTGTTGGCTCCTTAAGTCCGATGAAACCAAATTTGGACTTAGATCTCCTGAAGTATGAAAGAATAAAGTTCTGTTGTTTCGAGCCACCACGTCTGTGGTAGTTTGCTATAGCAGCCACAGGAAACAAACATGCCCACCTGGAAAACATGACATTTTGGTTTTTCTGACAGTTCCGAGCCCTCTCAACTGCAGTGCCATGGAGCACACTGGGCGGTGAGGGGAGACGGGGCCCCACCGCAACGGACCGTGCCAGGCTGCCAAGATGCTGGGCAAAGGAGAGCCTTGCCACAGGGCAGCAGCTCGCCCTGGTTCTCATTAGGAAGCCCACTGGCTCCAGAGGGCTGATAAGCAGGTAGGAGTGGAAGCCATTAGCGGGGGCTGTGGTCATCCAATTAGTGGCATGGAGCAGGCAGGGGGCAGGACAGCGACGAGAAATGGGCAGATCTGAGGATGAGTTCGGGGGACAAGTGCCAGCATCGAGCCATAGATCGATAGCAGGTAGAGGGATGTGCCAGCGTTACAGCAGGCACTGTGTCTTTGGGTTGGGGGGCAGCCAGGGAAACCTCTGCTCTTACAGGGGCAGTCCGCAGGAAGCCCACGGCTGATGCCCTTGCACTGTGCGCAATGGGGGCGTATGCTCATCCTCTCCAAACTCACACCTGACCCCCTCACACCCCCAGCCCCTCCCACACACCCCCGGCCCTTCCCGTGCACAGCCGACCCCCACACACACTCGGCCCCCAACACATACACCCAGCACCCCCTCCACATAGCCCCCGACACACACCCAGCATCCAGCCTTGACTGTTGACATCCTGGGAAAAGAGCAACAGAAGAGGGGACTCCCCTGTCCCCTCCCTCTGGATCCCTCTGTGAGGAGATCAGGGAGGGCAGAGTGTAAGATCAACACTTGCCATCCTAGTTTAGGGGAAAAAAAAAAGGTACTCTGGATCTTAACATATGGATTGAATTTGGGAAGCTTAAGGTGAAGGTTCTGAAGGCTTCAACGTTTAAAAAGGACACTTCCTCTCTGTTTACTTTAAATGTCCTGACCTGAAATCGGCTGTCCCTCTCCCAGGAATAAAACCCAGAATGCCTTTTGAATCCTGTCAAGAGGTGAGCAGAGGCCATTTCTTGATTGCGAGTCCCAGCTGCGAGCCCGCAGTTCTCTCCTGCCCCGCCCTCCTCACCGGCTGGGACCGGTGCGCCCAGGACTGCAGGACCTGCCAGGTAAGGCCTCCTGGGCAGGGGGCGGGTGACACAAGCACCTCCTGCATGTGCTGGTAAGAAGGCACTTTGATCTGAATGGACGTCCTTAAGCTCCAAGCAGACTGCGCTGGTTCCTGTGGCAACAGGAGCATGTGGGCTTTGGTGGCAGAGACCTGGGTTCCAATCACAGCTCTGTGACTTACTGTTGTGGAAACGGATCCAAGTTACCTTACCTCTCTGCACCTCAGTGTCGCCTTCGTTAAAATGGAGAGGGAAATTGTGATGTATTTAGAGGCATGGCATACTGTGGACCCTCTGAGAATGGGGCTCAGTGTGAGTGTCCTGAGGCCAGTGGCCTCCCCAGGGTGTCCCTGTGCAGGGAGTCCCTCTGCGTGGCTGGGAGACTGAGGCCTGAGTGTATGTCTAGAGTTCAAAAGACTGCTGAGCCCTTAGCTTGGGTCCCTGGCCCCTGATTTCCAGGCGCCCTCCCGCTGGCCGCATGGCCTTGTTCTGATCAGCTGTGCGCTCGCCTGAGCCTGTTTTCTCATGGTGAATGTGCATGACTGTCCCTGCTTACCCCAGTGTGGCTGTGAGTATTAATAGGTTAATAACGGATGTGAAGGAACGTCCTAGTGTGCACAGGGCGCTCTACTCCAGAAGGAAACATTCCCACCAGGAATCGGGGTAGCTGAGGCATCAGAAGTGTGGGGAAACGGGGGAAGGAGGGTAATCAGAAATCAGGCCCAACGTATGTGCCTGGGAAGGAGGCAGAAAGTAAATCAATCTGTGTGCGCGCGCCTCCTGCCACCCAGCACTGCAATCTGCCTGAGTATTCGCACCGCCATCTGCCAGCAGCACGGAAGTGCACGGCCTGATTCTGTGCTCTCCCTCGTGTTTACAGCTGGTTAGCAAGAGCCAGCTGGGGAGGTAAATGTTGTGGAGAGGGTGCCGGCAGCGCGGCGTGCTCGTCCTTAAAAGCAGCCTTTTGGACTTAGTCTTTGCTTCTCATATTTACATTTTAAAAATATGGATGGAGCACATCCAACACACCCAGGATTTGACCTATTATTCAAACCCCACTTTAAGTCTGAAGGTAGGCATTAGGCTCGTTTTATAGATGAAGCTCACGGGGAGGGTTAGGACTTTGGTGGCAAGGGATAGAATGCGCAGTTCAAACGTGGTTTAAGAATAAAAGGGGACCTTATTGGCTCACGTAACTGAAAAGTCCAGAGGTAGAGCTGGTTCCATGGAAAGTGACAGTTCGCACTCAGAAGATCTCCACAGGGCGGGGCCTGTTTTTCTCTGTGGGTTTCGCTCTCAGATTTGCTTTACACTAGATTCCTACCTCCACCCCGTGAGAAGTTGTCTTTCTCAGTGGTCCCAGCAAAATAATTTGAATCACGTGCCCAGTCCTGGCCCAATCTGAGTGGCCAGGAGTTTGGAAGGCTCTGATTGGTCAGGTCTGGACCACAGACATAGCCCTTCAACTCAGGCTGGTTCACGTGCTAGAAACCCAAGGACTGAGAATAGGATGTTATGATCTTGCAAGAGGCTCCTCAGGGTCCTGCTGGAAAAGCATCTGAAAAACACTGACAGTCCCCTAGAGACCAAGGTTAGGTGGCCCGCCTGTCATCACACAGGGGCCCAGCCCAGACTCGAATCTCAAGCTGGCTGGTCTCAAAGGCTTTGCTATTCTTGCTCTTCAGGACAGCGACCCTCAGTTCCAGCTATACATTAGAATCAGGACAAGAAAGGGGTTAAAACAAATCCCAGGGCCTGGACCCTATCCCCTGAACCAAGAAATGAGATGCTTTAGGGGTGGGGCTGGGCCTCAGGATTCCTCAGAAACCCCCCAGGTGACTGTAGTGTGCCGCCAACGTCAGGAACTAGTGGACCCAGAGGATCTGCCTTCCCCGCTGAAAGCTCTGAGGCACTCAAGGCTCAGAACCCAGACCATCTAGGCGAGTTCGGGGGATGGTGAGCCTGGGAGGCGACCCGGGCAGTCTGGCCTTGAGGCTGGGGCGGGGGGTCCCAGGGTGGAGGCAGGGCTCCTTGTTTGAGCTGTGGGGCACGCTGAGCATCCCCACCCAGAGCATCCCCACCCAAAGCGTAGAGGCCGCTTCTGCAACCGCCTACTCGGCGATGCACACTTCAGGTGAGAGAGAGGCATCGCGGTCCCCAGCAAGCGGTGCTCTTGCCCGGCTTGTGCTGGGCTGCGGCCCGGAAACGGGCTTGCGTGCAAAAGCACCTGGCAGCCAAGCTGCTCCTCCGGTTCCGGGCCACCAGCGTCACCTGTCCCTCTCCCATGACAAAGGGAAAAAATTCAAAATGTAGCTACTGAAGAACCTGCTCCTCCGCCTGTAGTTGGCACAGGTCACGGGCAGGAGCCACTGGCTCCCTGGCCACCGTTACCCTGAACAGATGTGTTTCTCTCTCTCCCCCTTACCCATCCCTGTTCCTGGGCACCTGCTTCTCTGCAACTGCTCAGAACTGCGGCTAGGGCGGGAGGGAGCCAACACCCTTGCTTTACATGGTGGCGCAAACTGAGCTCCCAGGGGCTCAGGGACTTGCCAAAGGTCACACGGGAACCAGCCCCTGGCACTGGGTCCTCAATCCTCAGCCAAAGCCCTTGTTCTTTGCCAGTGTGACACTGGCAATTCCCTGACATTCCATGCATCTGTTCCTGTCTCTCCCACCCCACATCCTTTATTTTAGAACATTTTGCTTCATTCACTAGGTCACCTTCAGGACCCCGCCCATCGCTGTGACATGATCCAGAAACCAAGAGCCTCCAACTCATGTGGCCCCTACTCAGCGCTCCCGCCCCATCACGCCTTCTTCCCCACAGACGACTTCGCCGTTTCACTCTGGGTTTCAGCAAGGCCCTTTATTTGTCTCCTGTTCCCCACCACGTCACATGAGCACAGGCGGCCACGTGAGTACCTGCATGGGCTGTTGGCTTTGTAAACGTAGAGCGGTCGGTATGTATAGAAATCATGCACCTCAGTGATTCTTTAACAAATACTGAATGAAGAAAAAGCCTTCAGGTGTTTTTGAAATGTCTGCCCTTTCCTGCAGCCTAATCACTGAAAAATATCTTGCAGAAATTTTACTCAGCTGCAGACATGTTTTCTTTGCACCCTTGCTAGTACCTGCCCAGTGCATTTCAGATTGCAGTTTGCCTCTGACGGCTGTTCCTCACAGAAGCTGCTGGCTTCCGTTCGGACACAGGATTTGCACACGTGACACGCTTGTCTTCCATACCGCGCGATGGCTGAATTGATCCGATGCTGCCATAATACGTTATTCAAATCAGCATCTCCAGCGTGGCTGGAGGCTGCCCGTCCACACATCAGCGAACAGGAAGCTGCTTCTAGATTCAGTGCCTCCAACCGGCCATGTTCGTCACTGGAGACCAAGAGGCCAGCTTTGGGACGGTGGGCCCTTTGCGTTTGTAGGTCTTCCCAGTGTCCTCGCTCACACATGCGCTTAGGTGGCCATCGCTTAGCACACACCTTGTGCAGTGACAAGGACACAGGGCTGACTCGCTATCTCTGAGGCCGGCAATTGAACATTTATGTACAGACAAATAAATGGAAAACCATAGGCAACGGAACTCCAAAACAAAACAGACGCTTTGGTCACATCTACGATTCCAGCTTTGCCAGAGAAAGGCTTTCCGGAATGTCACTGGGTGAGCGAGGTCTTACCCCCCCCCCTTCCCCGGCGCCAGTGGGCCAGCCTGGTGGTGCCACAGTTCATCTTCGAAACAGCTAACGCGGGATGGCCCAGGCCCGGCGTGGCAGTGGGGCTTCTGTAGGCAGTGAGGTAAGTGACGTGCGCGTCCTGCGGCTGATCATGGGGGCCCGGCTGCGCTCGGGGACGCCAGCCTCAGCTCTGAGGGAAAGCGATGTCACAGAAAAGCCTCCAGTCCCAGCAGCTGACTGCTCTCTGCCGTCAGAGACCTGACAGGGTTTGGGGTGGGGTGAGCGGCTGGTGGCGTTTCCCCCAGGCCGTGACCCTGTGCGCCACCCCTGACCGTGACCACCCTGCCCACGAACCGGCCAGGTGCAGGGCCCGCAGACTCACCCCTGCCTGGGGGCGCCAAGGGCCCCCCGTGTGGCTGGGACAGCGGCAGAGGCCAAGTTCTCCAGCACTTGGTGTGCAGTGTTTTGTCTTTGTTTTTCCTTTTTAGGTGACCACAGGACGTCGTGCGTTGTTACACTCAGACAAATAGCCGCTTGATCACTGTTTCAGAGGAATGACGAACCACGGAGCCACAGGACACGGACAACGGGCGCCAAGCCTCTGGTCACAGGGCGAAGGAATGCGCCGGTGGGCACAAAGGAATCGCGGAAGCAAGTGAGTGGAAGGGAAAAAAATCTAAGGAAATACAGGCTGAAAATTTCCCACTAACGATAGTGAAAGGGAAGAGAGACCCAGCGCGGTAGAAAAATCCCAAGTAAGAGCTTCCCGTTGAGGCAGGTTTCTGAGCGTGGACCTGTACCACGGTGGGTGCCGGCCCGCGCCACGGTCTGTCCGGGCTGACCCGCGGCCACTTGCCGAGCCCAGCGCGGGAAGGGGTCTCACCGGCCTGGAGCAAAGATGAAATCCAGGGCCTGCCGTTCGGCCGCGGCAACGTTTGGATGCCACAGATCCACCATGAAAACCACCCGGGGGCCGTCCTCCGCTGAACCTGGGGTGGGGGATGAGAGAGGAGAGGTTCAGACAGCCCCAGAGCCAGAACCCACGGAGAGCCGGCGCCCGCATGGCCAGCTTTCAGGCACGATCGGAGGATCTCCTCCTCTGATCAGGAATAGGATGATGGCTTCCTAAGGCTCTGAGCAGAGTGCACAAAGAACGAGGCAGAGGGACGGGGGATACGTGGTAGGAGCACGGGATGTTTGGGGCAATGAAGCTATTCCATATAATTAATGCCATGGCAGATACGTGTCCTTATACATTTGTCAAAACCCATGGAATGTACATCGAGAGAATCCTGATGTAAACGACTGACTTTCGTTAATAACAATGTGTCAGTATGAGCTCATCGATGATAACAGATGTACCCCACTAATGCCAGATGTTAATAAAAGGGGACAGTGTAGCGGGGGATGTGGTGTGTACTCTCTGCTCAATTTCTCTGGAAACCTAAAACTGCTCTAAATATAAAGTTCCTGCTTAAAGAGCGGCCATAGGGGAGACAGACACTCACCTTCGTGGAACGCGGTGTGGAGGAAAGAGTCATCGAAGAGGAGGCAGCGGCCTTCCGCCCAGCACTGGGGCTCCCCGCCCACCACCAGCTCACAGCCGCTCGGCGTTTTCAGACCTGGGGAGAGAGGAGAGGAGACAGAGAGAGTGAAGGCTGGCAGGACCGGGGTGGCCCTCTGGGGGGAGTGCCCACCTTCCGATCTTCACCCTCACCCTTCGGAGCCGGGGTAGTTCGAAAGGGCGAATACAGGCAAAGCAGCTGGATCCTCCCCACGTTCCCTGGGAAAACTCATTCCTCCAGGGGCTCGCCCCAGCGAATCGCGACCTTTTTCACCTCATGGCTCACATAAAGCAATTACTAAAATTCTGTGGCACACCAAAAATATATTTTTTTGCCGATCTGGCAATAAAATAGGTATTATTTGGATTTATTCACACTGATGGATGGATGGTGTGCCGGCTGTTGTCATACTTTAAGGCTGACGTTCAAAGGGGAAAGAGGCCAGTGCCCCTACTAAACAGCCAGGCACTGCACGTTGTAAAAATCCCTGTGGCGCACCAGCTGAAAACCGCTGGCTTGATATCTTCAGGGTTAGGGACTCTTCTGATAAAAGCCAGGAACCAAGGCTTGCCCTACGCTTTTAAGCCTCCTGAAGCCCCACTAGGGGACCCCTGGAAATGCAGGGAGCCAGGTTCAAAGCCCCGCCTTTCAATATCATGTTACCTACAGCCCCAACTGTAGGGCTGTTTCAGGTGACTTAAAGACACAGAGGCTCACGCAGCGCCCTCCTCTTTGGGTTCCAACCCTTAACTCCACTTTGACGCCTCGGATGGCATGTTCTTGACCTGAGTGTCCCTGGCCACACTCTGGGGAACTGGAGGGCACCGCCAGGAGAATGTCAGAGCTCCAAGAGGTTGCAGAACGGCACCTTTGTGAGGAGCCATGTGCTCAGAACGCTAGTGGGGAGTGCCACGCTTGCGTGCCTGGCCCTGGAGGGGGGTCTGGTTGAAGTGCGGCCGCGCGTGGGTTCTCATGCCCCCGTCTCCAACCCCTCGGCCTAAGGAAACACCAGCCCCGCCACTAACGCTTGCAGGCGAGTCTGTGTCAGCCCGACGGCTCTCCCAACTACCCAGGAGGAAGCGGGCCCTGGAAGAGGGGCCAGGATTGTGGTGTTCTCGTCTGTCCTCAGTGGCTCCCTGTGACAACCATGCCCTTGGGCCAGTGGACATTCCTCTGTGACCTCCTGTCCCTTGTGACAACATGAAGCGGCCTTTTCTCTAACAGGCAGGGTGCCTGGACACGGTCCTGGAGCCGGACATGGAAGCCTCCGGGAGCACGGACGCAGGGAGAGTTCTAACGGAGACCGCGGCGGGCAGGCCCCCGCGGGAAGGACAGGGGCCCTGCAATCGGACAGCTGGCCCGTTCTCACCTGCTGTGGGACGGGGCGAGCCGGGGAGAGTGCTGTACAGGCTCCTTGTCTGTGACGAGGGGGCATGAGCATGCTCACATGCCCGCTGTCTGTGCTACGAGGAACATAAGACTCACTGCGAGCCGCTTGCGGCAAACACTTTACAGACACCACTGCACCTACTCTGCAGGTGGAGCCACTGAGATACAGGAAAGTAAGGGACCTGCGGGCCATCACTCTCTAGTCCTGGTCGGAGCCGGGGTTTGAATCCAAACCTGTCTGGCTCCAGGAGGCAAAGAACGGGCTCTTAGAACGCTGGACACCATGACAGAAATGCCAGCTATTCCATTAGTAGCAGGGGTGGTAAAAGGATTGTTGATTTTCCTGCAGTTAATACGGGTTTCAACCATCAACAGTACATTTCATTGCATCGGGCGAGACCGTCCGTTCTGGCTCTGAAACCGCGATCTCCCGCCAGTGTCAACAATTGCTGGGAGCCGGTGGGGACGGGGCGGGGGGGCTGTTAGGGCTGTGAAGGGGTTCAGCTGCCGCGCTCTGGCTCGGGTGAAGAGCGCCCCATCGGCACGTCCCCCTCCCACGTGCGCCCTCGCTGGATGGCTCAGGGGGAGAAGGCCTTGAGAACAGGTGGTTCTCCGCAGGCACGGTCTACCCCAGGGACAGGGAGGCTCCCCTTTCTCGGTGACACTACATCACTGGCTGCCACGCACCACAGAACAAGAGAAAAATGGCCTGGCTTGCCAGCCTGCCGGCCCCCTGCCTCCCCACTCCACGCCAGCCTCCCAGGGGCCCCTCACTCCTGCCACCTGCCCACAAACCAGCCTAGTTGGCAGAAGTAATCACGACTCCCCCAGAGAACCTGGGAGGCTCCCGGGGATAGAGACAGGCCCCACACATGGCCTCAGCCTGTCCCAGATGCTCAGGCCCCTCCCTGGCTTAGGGTGTGCTGCTCTGCGCACCCCCCAACCCCAGCCACTGAGGGAGGCAGGGGAAGGGTGGAGAAAGGCTCTGTCCACCAGTGGCCCTGCTTTAGGGGGCCGGTGGCTCGCACCCAGGGTGGGCGAGGCAAACATGGGCTGATCTGCTGGCGCCAGCCAGCTTGGTGGCCCAGAAATCCAACGGCCTACACGTGGAAGGAAAATGAGGGATGAACCGTGCTCTTTGGGTGCTACTTTGCTTGAACGCGCTCCTGCGTTTTGGCCTGCCCTTTCCCGAGGGTGGGCCAGTAGGCGGGCACCTGCCTCCCCAGTGACAGGTGCCTGGCAACCGTCAGAGCTTGCTTCCTGGAGGCCTGCGGAGGTGTGGCTGGGACCCCCCAGCCCGCTACACAGTGCGGGGTGGCAGCCGGGATGGAGCTGTCCCATGGTTCTGCAGGGAACTGAGACCGAGAGACGCCACCTCCAAAGGTAGCTCAGAACAGGGCTCAGCAAATGTGTGCCACACAAGCAGTACCTGGGGGGGGCCGGGGCATCAGTCACAACTCAGGCGGAAGGCAGGAAAGGAGGACAAGGGCTGGCATTTCAGGAGCGCTGTTTTGGAGCTGGAAACAGGTGCCGCCTCCACCCCCAGGCCCAGTGGCTGGTGGAGGTGTGGCCACCAGGTACGTTGTCACCTCGCCCTGCTTCTTGCCCCCCCCATGGACTCCCTCTCTGTCAACATTCAAGGTCACATGAATCAAACACGCTTTCATTTCCTTCCGGGTGGATACGGGTGTGGGCGTGACCCGGAGAGAAGGAAGCCGTGAGCAAAGCCCACCATGGCGCCTGTGCTGGCCACAGGACTAGCCTCACCGCCCTGGGACATCCTCCAAGGTTCCCTGCTGCCCGGGGAACATGACGTGACCCACTTCTTCTGGTGGCCGGGGACTAGCTGGCCGAGAAGGGAAGGGTCATCAAGAGGACCTGCGTGGGTGTGAGTCACACACACAAGTAAACTGCACAGGTGCACAGAAGGCGTTAACACACAGGAGGTGGACTTTTGGCTTTCTTGCCACCAGCCCTCCTACTCAGCACACCTGCCTGGAGTGCCACCTCATCTATCCTCAAATGTCACTCCCTACGTTGTTAGGAAGTTTTTAGAAAACATAAAAGGAAACCTTTTATTTAAAAAACAAAAAACCCCCGAGATTGTTCCCCACTGCCTTCAACCTTAATGCTGGAGCGTGGGGGGCGCGCGGGGGTGGGAGGCGCCTTCTGTGGTTTGCTCCCACCGACCTCTCCAACCTCAGTCTCCACAGCAAGCCCAGACAAAGGGAAGCCTTCCCCCTAACTCCGCCCAGTGTCCCGCTGACCCTCCAAGGTCAGCCTACCTCCCCGAGCCACCCACCTCCAGCCCTCCCGTCCTCTGACCTCAGAGCGCGCCCTGGCACCTCGCACAGCGATTTTACTGGTCACGATCCATCACTTGGTCATCTCACCTCCTGGGTTAACCAGAGCCCCCGTAACTGACCGCTGTCTATCTGCCCACTGCTTTCCTTAGAGCACGTCTAACCCCCCAACCAGCCCTCCAGGGAGGGGTCACCACCTCCACGTGAGAGAGGAGCGGACCGCTGCTCAGAGCTGCAGGGCCGCGCCCAAGGCCGCTCAGCAGAGGGGGCTCACAGGCCCCAGTGCAGGGCTGTTTGCTTCCAAGTCCCACTTCCCACTGCTCCTGGGGGCAGGGCCCGTGTCCTGTGGCTGCTTTATCACACTGTCCAACGTGCTGTTTGGTCCCCAAAGCTCGCTCCCAGCAACTGTTTACCGAATGCTGTCACGTGCTAGGCACCATCCCAAGTAGCCACAGAAAGTATTACTTTATGTAACCTTCTAATGATCCTGTGAGCGAAGTACTACCTTCCCGTTACACAGACGATGAAGCTGAGGCTCAGAGAGCCTCAGTTCCTTGGCCAAGTGACCCCGCTGACCAGGAAGGTGGGCCACCTGCCCCAGAGCCCCGACCCTGTCCTGCCTTTCCTCCTCAGACCCTCGCGGTGTCAACTGCTCGAATCTAGCTCCTTCCGTCTTTTAAAGCAGGGGAGCCTCGGGCTGAAGCTGAACTTTATTCTGAATCCCCAGAGTGAGAACAGGAGAAGCAAAGCGCTCTGGGTGAAGCGGAAGTGGGCGGGTGGAGGGCCTGGGGTGTCAGACCCAGGCCCCCTGAGGCGCCTCTGCAGAACTAGCGACGAACCCCACTCCGGCCCACAGGGGCTCCTCGGGGCGGGGGGCTCCCTCCCGCCACCCTGATGCTGAGGCAGCGCCGTCAGCTTCCCGGAGCTGGGCCTTGCCGAGGGTCCCGGGACCCGCCTCTCGTCCAGGATGCTAAGCATGGCGCCTTCGTCCCGGCAACCATGCCGCTGTCACGGCGCCTCAGGAGCGAAGGGGGGCATCCTGGGGAACGAATATTCCCATTTACCATGCTGCTTTCAAGCCCGCTTTCAGTAAGTACTCACTCCCGATCGTGCTGTGCGAACCAAGGCTTTACATTCTCTGTCAAAGAGGATCGTTCTCCCTCCACTGTCCAAATGAGGACACTGAGGCTCAGAGAGGCGCGGCGACGTGCCCAAGGCCATACAGCTAGCTCGTGGGAGGGCCAGGATGCAAAATCTGACTCCAACCCTGTTCTCAAACCACTGCAGCCCACCATGCGCGCTTCACCCATCTCCCTAGGATCTGGGTAAAATCGCCACCAAGCATCCCTGTACCACCGGACAGTCAGAAGGCACTCGACGTCTTTCACAGCCCCCTGGTGCCCTCGGGAGCCTCAGAATCACTGTAACAGCCTCGGGCTCTGCATCTCCACTGTCCAACACCGCAGCCACCAGCCACACGTGGTGACTCAAATTTTAATTGTGATTAAGGTAAAAACTGAGCCCCTCGGGTGCACTAGTCCCATCTCAACCACGCAACAGTCACGTGGGGCTAGTGGCACACGGAGACCATTTCTGTCACTGCAGAGAGCTCCTTTGGATAGAGCTACTGTAAGACACTAGGTTCCTACTGATCACCAGTGCCTTTTTTGGCCCAATCACTGCTGTCAGAATGGTTCACAAGTGATTCATTAATGTGTGATGGAAGTACAGTGAGAAGTGTAAAAAAAGCACGCTTCTGGCTACTGAGCTGACGTCTGGATTCCCGAGCGCGAGCTGACCCTACCCAGGAGGGAGCGTGCCAGGAGACCCGGCCCGGCGACATACCTAAGTGGCATCGGATGCGGATGTTGGTGGGTCCGTAGTGCTCCGTTATCACGGTCCCCGGGCTCAGCACGGAGATGCACGCGTTCCCAAAAACATTGTTCCCAATGCAGGTCCGAAGGCTTCCGAGCAAGCGGTACGTCCGTGGGCACTTCCTGCAGTTCCTGGGAACACAAACCCCCTGGTTGACCAAGTAAAAGGTGACCCACTCCCCGCTGGGGGTGCTGTTCATTTTCCAGCCCTGCGGGAGGCTGCAGTTTGAGAAGGCTTTGTACAGGGCCTCGAACTCGCACAGGATGGTCTGGAAGTTCCGTTCCAGCAACTCCACGTCGTGCTTCTGGGCATCGCGGGAGAAGTAGGGTGTGGTGGGGAGGTCAGGCAGGAAGAAGACCTCGGGCTTCTGGATGGAGGGCCGGCTGTTGAGGTAGCGGCCCTGCTCGCGGATGCCCTTGTGGATGCGGCCCATGCCGGACCAGGAGTAGCGCTTGGCGTACTCCTGCAGGTTGTGGTAGAGCTTCTGGTTGAGGCCCTCGTTGTGGGTGCAGCGCACGCACTCAGGGGACTGGCAGTACACGTACCCGTTCTGCAGCCCGTTGGCCTCTGCGCCCTGCATGAGGGAGTTGACGGAGACGTAGGGCCGGGGCTGCTCCCGGCCCACGTGATAGCAGTACCACACGAACAGGACCAGCATGCAGGCCACGGTGACAACGGCGCTGGTGTCGCAGTCCCTCACGGACTGGATGCCCGTGGCGATGCAGTCCCGCAGGCCGTCCAGCGACCAGCTCCAGGCCGCCAGCCACTCGAGCGACATCTTGGGGGGGATTGGCGGCAAGGATGTGAAGCAAGGTCCGTTAGTCCTCTGGGCTCCCGAGGGCGCCCGCGGCAGGCAGGTTAGCGCGGGGCAGCTGGGACAGGGGGAGGCATGGCCGCCCCAGTTCCCCGGGTCCTGCCAGGGGCGGCATCGACGGGCAGCGAGGCCGCCTGCGCCCGCTACTGCACTCCAGGCAAAAGTCACTGTGGGGAGAGTCGAAGGAGCTGCTTCATGTCACGCTGGCAAGTGGTGTTCGCCCCTGTGAAATGGCTTTTTTAGGAAATCCAAGCCTGGGATGAAAAAGAAATACACCAGCATGAATTTTTTTTACACCCGGAAAAGTCCACAACTGAGACATAAAGTCACAGATCATTTTGTAAGGCCCTTGTTGGTAGCGGACACGCTTCTCAATCTTGAGTGTTCTCTCCCCATTTTACTGCCACTCTCATTTCCCAGCAGCGTTTCATCTGCATCACGCGCTGTTTGACAGGCACGGCAGCCCCACCCACTCTCCGTCATCCTTAGGAGGTGCTCTAGTTCCTGTTTCACAGATGAGGAAACTGAGGCTCAGAGAGATCCCTTAACTCCCTCAGTTCTTGCAGCCACAGCAGCGACAGACGCCACCTGACCTCCACGTAGTATCTATCCATTGTGCTATATTCTTTCATAGTAGGTATTTCATAAATGCTTATTCTCCTCCACTCTCTGTCCCTTTTAAGAGACATGGATTCAAAAGCACTTCAAAAATGGCAAAGGAACTCGGAAACTGCGCATTCTCCATTTTACTGTGCGTGTGCGTAGCACTCCATCATTCTTATTTATTCTCTTTTGCCCTTCTGACATGGGTCAGGCTTAAATTAAACCAGGAAAGGAAGTGGGCTCTCTGTGGTCACAGCCGTGGCAGACAGTGGGCAATTTCTCTCTATCCACTTGGGAGGCTACTCACTTGGTCTCACCCATGAGGTTATGAAAGTGACATAAGATAGAACGCAAATAAAAGCCCTTTCAGGTCTCTGGCTGTCTCCAAAACGGACAAAAGAGGCTTTACCATGTATTTTACTGACGGTGGGGGTCACTGTCTAGCACCCTGGTTAACCTAAAAGTATGATATGATCAGAGCCTGGCTGTCCTGTTGCCCATGCCTATAAAACCCCTGCCACGTTCCCCAACTGACACCCTGTCCACCCTGCGTTTTCTAATCGGATGGCAACAGGCAGATCTATGTCCTATTGCAAGTCTAATGCATCCTTGCAACATAGCAGAGAGATTAAGCAGCCAACTGGAGATGAGTTAGACCGAGTCTTCATCCTGCCCCTGCACAGGTCGCTCGCCCCTCTAAGTCTCAGGATGGGGACACGCTCATCTCACTGAATGAAGATGAACGACAGATGTCAGGCACTTCTGATCTTGTCATGGTAACCATCCAATGTGCGCTGGTGACTGCTACGACATGTCGGCATGCCACCCTGATTAGCCGGCAAACCACAGGGGGGACATCAGGGAAAGACATCTTAGGACTGAAAATTCCAACAGCCAAAGGAAGATTCTGGACACTCTTGTTGCCACACATCTCAAGTGATGTTTTTTGGGCCCCAGACTTGCAAAGCCAAAAAAGGAAGGGGAGACTTTAGGTGATTGTTAACTGCCTCTTTGCATCTTCCCAGCTTAGGCTGTATAAAGAATCACTTGACTATCGCGTTTAGTAAGCTCAAAACACGCATGCTGAATATTCATGCACGTTTTATATGTTTCTAGGAAAAGCATAAGAGTGGGGAGGTTAGACGCTACATTTTTTTTCTCACTTTTTTTTTCTCAATTTCTTGGGAGATTTGGGAGAGGAGGGGAGGGCTGGGCCCACTGGATGGGAACAGACCCCCCCCCCCCCATGCCGCTGGTTCTCTCGTCAACCTACTGTAACTGGCAGCTGTTTCTTCTCAAGAAGGGAACGAAAATCATCGAAAACCCGGATGAAAGGCGCTCTGTTTGCAGGCCATCTCCCCAGCAGGATCCCAGGCTTCCTGAACTTGGGTGTGAAACTACCACCTGCATAATAACAAGCGCTCTTACTAAAAGGACCCCTCCCCCCCACTGAGCTGAACTCCAAATTGGAACTTTTAAACTCCCTCTCTCAGGAAGTGAGGTTTCCTTAAATGCTCTAAGAGTGAGATGGTGATCATTTGACAAACACCTGTTAAGTGTTAGTTCCCACCATCCCTGCTAATCAGTAGAGTTTTAAGTCGATCAAAATGAAGGCACGGAGGACAGGGCAGTGGAGGAATCACCCCACTGAGCACCCTGCAGTGTATTCCCCATGCTCCCTCCCCACAGGGGAGGCGTTATTCTGAGCAACGTCAGCGAGAGAGCTCCTTAGACTGAGCTATAAACAAAAGACAACAGAAAGTCCTGATTTCCTGAGCTCCGGTTCCAACCCTGTTCAAAGATCACAAACAGCACTGAGAGCTGAAGTTAGGACTTTTCAGACCTGTCAGTTACTTTTAGTTAAAATATGCAGGCAGTCCCCTGAGCCCAGAGGTGGATTAAGGAACTCACTGCTGAAATATGACACTAAAAGCAACCCTTCCGTCTTCAGTGTGATGGGCAGTTTATTAAACACTGGGTCAAACATCTGACCCTACTGCACCCAGTGACAACCCCCGCCTCCGAGTGGGGAGGGCATGGATTCCCCACCCTCAATCCCAGCTCCTCTCAGGGACTGGAGTAACTTCCAGCTTCCTTCACACATTTGTTCATTTTCATGTTTCATTTCTGTCCTTGTTAGGGATGGGGAAATCTCACTGCCGTTCTGAACTTTAATAGTATGCAGCTCCAGATCTTAAAGGTCAGTGGGCTTGGAGGAATGAAGTTCAAATTCATGGCCAATGGTAAGCAAGTCCAATCAAATATAACTTGTTATACAATGAACACCGACCTCGGGGGACAGACTAATAGCTCTAAACTGGTTTAATCCAGTTCATGTTACCAGTCCAAGGGGCTGCCCGGTGCTAAAGAGCTTCTGGTCGCTCTCAGGGTGAGGCCAGGTCACCCCTCCAAACCCTCCAGGGAGCAGGCTGCGTTGGGCAAGGTGTGTAATGCATGGCGCCCCCTCTACCCAGGGGCCAGGAGCTGCTCTGGGGCCAACCCTACCCCGGGGGGACCTGGAGACCTTGCCTCCTCACTTTTCTTGGCCGGCTTTTTCAGCATCTGCTGGCTCCGGAGTGAGGGGAAAAGCGGGAGGGCGGCGGATGGGTTAACACAGATGGTGACCACCAGGAGGTCAGAGGCGGAGGGAACAGGAAAAGAGGAAGGTGACTATTGACAGACAAAGTAGACGACCAGGTAAAGAGTAGGAAGCAACGAGGATTATGGTGATAACTCAAGGGACGGGGAGGAGGGTTACCACAGGAAATGTGGGAAGTGGGTGACGCTCGGGCTGGGGGAGGGAGACAGCAAGCGAGGGAAGGGATCAAGGAGGGTCACTGGGAAGCAGGGTGACGGGGTGCAGGGTGCATTAACACGAGGTAGAGGACCGCGATGGGGCAGCGGGTAGGAGGAGGGTGATGCCCGGCCGGGGCCGCTAACACTGGCGAGGCGGCGGCGCTCAGCACGCAGCGAGCTCCGGGCGGCTGGGCCCCTCGGCCGGGCCAGGATGCGAGGCGCAGGCGGGCGCCGACGTCTTAGAGCATCCTCAGCGGCCGCGCCGCCGGGCGTGGGGACCGCGGGCCTGCACCCGCTCGGCCCCCGCCTCCTCCCCGTGCAGCAGGGTCGGCCCGGCCGCGCCGCTCTCCCGCCTCGCAGCCCCCAAAGACGCTGCTTACCTGCGCCCCGGCACGCGGGCGGCAGGGGGGACTCCTGGGGCCGGAGCGACGCCGCCGCCCGAGGGCGCGGACGCGCGGATGCCCCCTGCCCACGCCGGGGAGCCACCGCCCGGCTGCTGCCCGGCCCACGCCGCGGGAGCCCGAGCGGGAGCCGAGCTAGTACCCCGCCGTTGCCGACGCCGCGCTGCGCTCCGTGGGGCCGCGAGGACCACAACTCCCACAATGCCGTGCGCCACCGGGCCGGTGTGGGAGGGGCCGGGTGGGGCGGGGCCGGCGCCGGGGATAGCCAGCTGGCAGGGACCCCCGACTCCCAAGACCCGTCTTCGCCGGTCTTGAGCGGGGTCACTGGAGGGCGGAGCCGCGCCGCCCGCTTAGGTGGCTTTTGCCGGAGCCGCCTTGACCCTGTGCAGCAAGGCGCACCGTCCGCCCAGTCCGAATTCAGTAATTCATTTAGTTCGGCGTGCCTTAATTCATTCGTTCCTCGTTTCTCCCTCTGTCCCCCTGCTCGCTGTCTCTCTCTGTCTCCGCTGCCCCTCCCTCAGGCTCTCTCAATCTCTCCCTCCTCCATTTCCTCCTCTCATTCTCTTTCACTTTCTCTCTTCTTCCCTCTCACTTCCTCCCTCCCTAACATCCTTTATCGATTGATTCAATATACATTTATAAGGCCTCTTGGGCACTTGGAGTGAAACCACAAATCAAACAGCATCCTTTATCTCACGGAAAACTCATTTGCCCAATACAAATAATGACGGGGCAGCCTCCCCTTGCCTGGCCCTGTGCTCTGCGGGAGCGTTTCAGGCAAGACCCCTGTGGGCAGGGAGCCGCAGTCCAACCAGGAGTGGACGATGCCCAGGTAATCACAGGTGTAAATCTACAGTCCCTGCGGGGCAGAGTGGGAGGAAGAGAACGAAAGGGACAGGATGAGAGTGTGTAACAAGGGGCGGGCGGGGGGGGGGGGGGGGGCTCATGAGGGCATGGAAGCCTCTCTGAGGAAGTGATGTTTGAGCTAAGGCCTCTGGGAGAAAAATAAACTAACAGTGGTTATGGGATGCCAGACGTGCTCCAGTGGAACTTTGCAGGGGCAGGTTCTGGGAGGACAGAGTGGGACAGTCGGCCCACAACCCATCTGTTCCTGTTCCACGAGCCACTTGTTGCTTTCCCAGAATACACCTCGTCCCTGGCCTAAGAACAAACTATACCAGGTCCCTGAATCCCCCTGGCCCCTGTTGCAGAACCCACTTTACCATGACCCAGCACCACCTCTACCGTGTCCCAGAACCCACTCCTTACCACTATCCCAGATCCCACCTCTACTGTGGCTCAGAATCCACATCTTCTGTGGTCCAGAATCTACCTGCACCTGTGACTTCATCCCTTTTCTCAATCCAAAA